TCTTCGGCTGCACGCTGCGCACCCTCGGATGGAGATTTTTTTCTTTAAATCTTCGCCGGAGTAAGTGGAGTTCGCACGGTCTGACTTAGGAACTACAGACGAGACGAACTAAATTCGTAATCCGTGTTTCGGCCGACAATGACATCAGTGCATGATGATCCGGAGCTATCCGGGTTCACTCAGACCGTTAAAAGCATCGTCGATGAATTCGCTTTAGCGCGGCGCTTAAAATAAAAACAAATGCTGAAATCCGGAATGAAAAACAACAATGTCGACACATGGTACTTGAATGCTTCGACGAATCGTAATTCTGCGGAAACATAAGATTGTGTTAACGTCGGAATGAAAATTCGTTGAAAGTATGCGACGCACTATCATGCATTTATAAAAGAACGTCATTTTTAAGGCTTAAAATGTTGATTCTGCGAAGGTTTGAATGGGAGTTTGACTAACGGACAATCATAGGAGCATGGCAACCCAGTTTGTGGAGGATCACCAAGGTGCGATGTAGGATGCACCATAGGTTAAGTTAAGTTAGGGGCATGATTGAGAATCCACATCTGGGTTTATCTGACGACGAACATTGCGCGCGCTGATTCCCATTTCTACCTTCCAAAAATATGGCGTTTTAAATTCAATGCAGCAGCGTTTTTTTTTTCTAATAAATATACGTTCGTGTTCTTTTTTTCAGGTCGTAATTTGTGAATTGATGTAAATAGTATGTTGTAAAATGTAACTAAGTATTGAATGAATAAATAAAATATAGCTAGCTACATAGACTGTAAGTTTTGGGGGGCCCCATGCATAGGATTCGGAACTTTGGCATTTCGATTTCGGTGGAGGGTTTTTCTCCGGGTACTCCAGTTTCCTTCCTTAAAAAAACAGTGTCCATGTTTGGGGCCAAAGTGCTGATTATACGAATCGGGGCATTTCTGCATGCTAATAAAGAAAGTCGTTTTCGCCATTTCCAGTCGTTACAGTTTCGTGTTTACTTGATTTTTATAAGTCTCGTTTTGCTACATTTTACTCCTAAGGGAATCCGAGAGGTAAAAATATTAGAGATATACTAAAATCTTGTATCATGAAATTCGCTGGCCTCTGGGTTCAATTCCCAGAACACTGAGTTTGTTTATATATAACTGCAAAAATCACCATTAATTAAACAAATTATATATAGCTAGTAAAGACCAATAAACACGGGTCATGACCAGGAGAGATGAAAAGGACGGAAAGTGTTTATCTCAAGAAATTCAAAGAGAACACTCAAATCAGTTTTGAAGTCTCTGGAAAGATGGCATTGGAAATCACGTTTTATCAAGTGGAGTCCCATGAATACCTTCTTCAGCTAAAGCTTTGAAACTTTAAATGATTTGGAAAATAGAATAGGGATACTTTTGAAATAAGATCGACATATCAAATTCCCTCTCATAATTTAATTCCGAAGACATTGTTAAAGTCAGGCGATGTAACATCTAGTAAAAAAGCCATGCGAAAGGATAATTTAGCCATGGTCAACAAGTTTGTCTTATAAAGTATACTCGTTCCGCATAATATTGTTTATTTACTTAATATTATGTTTTTAACTTAATATTAATTTTTACTTAATATTCATTGTTGTTGTTTGGTAAGTGTGAAAACGGAAAACAACGTATAGCTAACGGTTCTTTGACTTGGATAAATTAGATGTGAGCATCTAGCTCACTTTCAGCGCAAACGGTGAAATTTTCGCCTAGCGTGGCCGAAAAGTCACCACGGAAGTTGGCTTGCATTCTCTTATGCTTTCGTATACTTAGGCCCGTTTCAGACGTCGAACTTAAACAAATACTTTAGCTCATTAACATTAGGTTCGGCACATCATAAGTTCGACGTCTGAGACGGGCCTTAGACTTTTTAAACCAAACGTTTTTTAAATGCTTAACAAAATCTGGCTTGCACAGAAGATTTGAAGCCTTGCACACGGTAAAAACGAATCGTGTGAACGGCGAACCTTGTGTATATACTATATATAAGCTATTATAATGCAAAATACCTGCATATGTATCAAAATGGCCATGCATTTCATGCGGTTGTCAGATGTTTTTTTTGCATGGCCAGAAAATTCGGACATAATTAACATTCTACTTCCGCCTAAATTTGCATATGGTGTCAAAATAAAGCTTCGTGAGTTTATAGTAAACTGTAATGTGCACAGTACTAAACGCTAAAAATACACCTTTAGGTAGGTCGACTATAATTTGCCTTAATTGCTCGTTGCAGAGCAAGTTAATCTTAATATTTTTTTATAGTATTTCAAATTGTTTTATCAGTATTCGTCCTGCATCTTCAAAACAAAGGTCTTCAACTATCGATACTTCAGTTTTTTCCGTACAGATTAAAAAAATGATTATGCTAAAAATGCTCTTTTCGCATCATTCATGCCGCATATATGGACTAAAATATTCAGCTTCGGGACAACCTGCATGTATCACTGTATGTTAACGATGCATGTTATCATTCATCACGTATTCGATCGCTTAATTGTCGACGATCATGAACTTGCACAGCACTGCGTCCATTATGGAATGTCCATGCATGCAATATATATATAACCTTGTAATGACAATTTTTGCAGTTCTTCCATCAGAGTGATCGACTCGAATATACGCTGTAATTAAATGCCGTCAGCTCGAGATATGCCATGGAAATTAATTGTGCTGCCCTATAAAAGGACGTTCCAACAATTACACACCCGGCGTTTGCTTGAATTGAAAACTCCGATTTCTACCTAAATTCCTAATATTTTCAATATTGTCTTATTTCAGTCAATATCGTCGAGAAGCGGTCTGTCTTAAAAATGCCTCATTAATTTGAAAGGGTCGTACGATAAGAATGGCATCTGGTTGTCGTCGGACCACAAGTTTCTTTTTTTTATACCCTTTCCCTTGTATGTGAGGCATTCCTTTGTCGTGGAAGCACATGCATGCTTTTAAAACTTGTCGTGAATCATGAACTCCTTGAAGTCAATAATCTCGAGTCTGCCGCCTAAGGCTACACAAAAGCACAGTGCTTGGCTGAGCTGACAAGCGAGGTAGGCTGATTTTATTAATCGCCTCAAGGCTCAAGACGTAAATTTTCTGTGCTGGTACATATATTATGTATGGCAAAACGCGTAACTCGGTCGAAGGCAAGTGAAAGAGCTAAATTTCGTGAAAGTCAGTATGGTGCACATGATCGTAAGTCACACACAAGCACCCATACACACATCGAATTCGACAGACATGCAGTTCGGAATTTCAAATTCTCAATTAAAGGAAAAGCGGGGTGGAATGAGCGAATATATCTTGTTGAAGGACGGTTAACAGTACATATGGTGTATTTTTCTGACATGCAGCTATAGTTTCATGGGATAATTTCAGTGTGTGGCGATAGAATAAAGTTTTTGCAAGATTTTATTAAAAACTTGAGCAGTTACTGAAAGGCCTTTCACTTGTGTCAGTTGTGTGTATTCAAAATGTCAAATGAATTTGTCCGTAAAGGGAAATTTACTGTCATCGAAAGAAACAATTTAATTTAGAATAAACTAAAATAACTTCAACCTACTGCACGTTGTCTATCGTCTATCCTGGCGGCATAGCATAGCAAATGAAGTTAACAAAGTTATTCTAATTCATTTATTGCAATTTCATTTATTGCATTTTAAAGACAGTTGATCGAGTTAGTCCTGGCTTCAGCAGCAGGTGGAGACAACTTCGGCCGTCTGCATTGCTGATTCAATTACATGCAGCACTCGAGAGCAGATTGACAAGCGATTCGGGCATTTTACGTGCCAATTTTATGGTTGAATTGACTGGTATAAGGATCCACCATATATATAGGTTAGGTAACGTAAAATCAGTTTAATAACTAGACCTTCTTAACCAAATATTACAGGCTTCACTGCTCCGGTTGGAGAATATACGATGTCTTTAAAAAAACAATCTGGTTCATTGCGAAAGTGAGGGAGGATCCATAATGCGACACTATTTGACACATACGATGGGAAAAGGAACATCATATAATTATAAGATATCATGGGTTCTTTTCTCCGAATGGTAACACATATCAATGTGATACATATCTCCCGTCATAATGGAAGGTGTGGATTTGAACAAGCATAACTGAACAATAATAGTGGAGCCAAATCCCGTTAAATGGTTGCTTTCCAGCAACAGAACACATGACCGTTTGAATGCCCTCTCATTACTCATCCTAAAATTAACATCTAAATTTGAAATTTCAAATGCACCGGTATTTGTAAGGAGGAAAGGATTTTTTTGTTTACTTTTTTTCACAAATGGGTTCGAGAGACTTTTGTCAGTTTAATGGTAGTTTGGACTATAGGAGACAAGAAGTTGTGAAATTTTGAATTGAAAAATTCAATTTTGCCAAAAATGAATCAAACAGGACAAACAGGAAAGCCTTTAGAAAGGCTTTCGCTGGACCCGCTAAGAAAGAACAGCGAACTTCAGCCGTAGGGTAAGTCTCTTCTGAATTGACGTTCTTTTAAAGGCACAAAAAAAGCAAGAGATTATTTTTCTTGCTATCTTGGTCATAAGGTCGTTAATCTATCCTTAATGCTGCTCTTTGGCGCATTCCGGTAAATTTACATCCGTCAGTGTGAGAATTCACGATTTTTTCTGCCCCTTTGGTTGAACTTGGGAAACGAGCCAATCAAACTTCGTTTGTAACATTAGGTCATCCGTATTTGACGTCAGCATAAGGAAGGAGGTGAGGGCAATCAAGTCTGAGGCAGTTGGTATTTGGCAATTCCCCAAATATGGCTTTGTTCGTCTCTTTAGAAGTGGAAAGGTGTAGAGGTAGCTGAAAAAATATAAAACAATGTTAACTTAAATAATGCACATTAAGATAACCTAATTTAGACGCCTTTAATTTCAATATTCGTTCCATCGGACCGAAAAATACGACGGAGACATTTTGTGCACCGGAAAGTGGGTGGTTCAAGACGTACAAATCGGGTGTCTGTTTTGTTTTGCAATAAATAATTTGGGACTTCCTTATACAAGTACACCCATTTCGGCTTTGGCTCGTTTGGAAACGATTGTTCAAAGTTTTCTTGCCGTGAAAAGGTATTTTTTCTATGTAACGATGTTATATGTTATAGTTTACGTTGCGATCGGGGTATATAATTGTTTCGATTTCGAGTTTTAGTTTTGGGAGGAACCTGTGTAAAAGGCATTTAAAGCATCGGTGACTGTGCAGATTTTTTTCACATTTCGATATTTAAATCTATTATTTGATCATTATATTTCTTGATTTAGTTCGATTAAAATGGATTTGATATTGATATATTGGAACGATGGCCTATAGTTGCTATGAAATTTAGCTTTAAACATGTATTTTGATGTATCAACAAAGACAACTATCAAGTACATAATTACAGGATATATTATGTTCACTCCTATACAGTTTGCTAATATTAATCGAGAAGATTGAACAATTCCAACAATTTATGACATGCCTTTGAGCATGTTAAGTAGATATATAACTAATAGATTTGGCTGGTGCAAGAATGGTGTTAGCAAGGCCTGCAAGGGTGGGACGTGTTACGTTAAAAATCTTTGCTTACAGGACAGTTTTTCTTTGTGGATTTAGTATTACTATTACAATGTCTGGTTATCCTGGTGGACCACCTGGTGGATATCCTGGTTATCCCCCAGACCCAGTAAGTTAATTTTCTTATGTTTGTCTATGAGGATATAATTGCAATGCTGGCCCTCTGAGCGCCTGGGTACTTTGCCCCTCTCTCACCCCTCTCTCACCCCTCTTCCTGGCTTAGGTTATTTTTAGTCTGCGTGCAGTCTCTACAGAAATCATTTCCTGTATATGATTCCTGTAGAGACTGCACGCAGGCTAGGTTATTGTATGTTTGGGTTCTGGACCTTTTAAACCTTGCTGAATAAAAATAGGGGTCAACTATTAATTTTTTTCTCAATGGCATTATCCATTATTTGCCCACATTTCGGTGAAGAACTTAAGTTGATAGATCTGAGTCAGTTAAGCCCAGAATCAAATTTGGTAATGTTCTGTTTTAGTATGGTGGTTATCCACCAGCTGGTCCAGGCTTCCCGCCTGCTGCACCTGGTTATCCCTCGGCCGCACCTGGTTATCCTCCTGCTGCCCCTGGTTACCCCTCTGCTGTGCCTGGTTATCCTTCTGCAACACCTGGTTTCCCTCCAGCTGCACAGCCTGGTTATCCAGGAGGTGGTGGTAAGGAATCAAATTCAGTTTCCAAACAACTTTAGCATGAGCAAGACATTTGGGTTTGGATTAGATTGTTTAGTAAAACATAGTTAACTCTTGACCAGAGTCTAAGCCCCTCATACAATTATCCAAAACTCTTCCAATTGTATAATCAAAGATGTAAGGTACACACTAATAATATATTTTGATAGTTGATAGTTCTAGGATGGCCTAAGTGCTATTTCATTATTGATGTTTTCATGCCATTATATCAGTTAAATTAAGCAACAATACAATATTCACATCTAAACGTTTTTTATTTTAATTAATCAAGGATACATGACATAGTTTGCGTGCAAAAAGAAACAATGTTGCCTTTGCCCTTTATTTCCTTTTATAAACAAGTATAAAACCTGTTCATACCCTCACCATAGCTTCACCATGTATAGTTCACCAAGGCAAATTACACATGTATCTCTCTGTTTCTAGGTGGATATCCTCCTGCTGGTGGCTATGGTGCCCCTCCTCCAGGAGGTTTTGGTAAGTTCATACACAGCTATATATAGAGTTACTCTAAGCAAAAATTTCAGAGTTGGTGCAAAGTTTATCTTTACTCCTAAGCCACGTGATTTAGGACAACAATTTGCATGGTATACAGTTTTCTTTAAAAAGTTTAAAATTGGCATCTACAATTACAAGAATGCATTGCTGCCAGAAATTTTTTAAAAAGCAATTTGGATTTTTTTATCAGTCTTTCGGTCATTTATACTCGGTCATAATGCGTATTCTTTTACCTATTTCATGATCTAGGGTTTGGTGACTGAGTTCTTTCCTGTAGCAACAATTGAATACCATTAAACAACCCTAAATTTCATATTCTAGGAGGAGCTCCTCCGCCAGCTGGATTTGCTCCTGCACCATATGGTGGTGCCCCACCAGGAGGTGCTCCATATGGGGGTAGCCCCTATGGCCAACAACCCCCACAACAGCAGTATGGTCAGGCTCCGCCGCAGCCCGGCTATGGAAGTCAACCACCCCCTCAACAAGGTTATGGAGGTGCCCCTCCACCTCAAGGCTATGGAAGTGCCCCTCCACCTCAAGGCTATGGAAGTCATCCCCCTCATCATGGACAGCACCCTCCTCATGGACAGCACCCTCCTCCACATGGTGGTCAGCCTCCTTCACGGCCCGCGCAGCCTGTTAAGCAGCCAGCAATCACGCAATCAAAAGCCCAGACTGCGGTAAAGATTGAATCTTCCGTTTGTGAAAAGATATTCTCCTCACTATTGATATGAACGAATCTAGAGTGCCGCATTTTTTTGTTTAAAGATCCGCTTCTTCTAAGGGCACTCGCCGCAATCAGGGTACTCCGGATTACGCACTTCGATTGGCTAGATTCCCGCATGGATCTAAATATAGTAAATATAGTGTAGCGAAAAGTTTGAAGAAAATGCTGCCATTTTTGCACTCCAAACTTGTTGCTTTCAACGGTTGCGCGATTTAGGTTAATTTATAGCGAAGGTACCTATCCTTGCAGTACTCACAAATGACGTATTCGAAGACACGGTTGGATCGTATTAAAAATACTAGTCTCAATTGGCGAGAATGACCGCTCCGTTTTCCATCTTAAATATCCAAGCTTTAGTTGTGGCAATTTTCTGCTGATCAAATATTAAGAATTCAAATTTATCTTAAATAGTTTCACGGCGTTTTTAAACTCTCATGTAAACTTTCGCTTGCAAATATCAACTATATAGTTTCGATTTCGCTTGCAAAGTTTGACCAGGGATATGTTTATTTTCATTACATACTTTCCCTCTTTAGCAAACCGCTCCGCCAACAGCACAGCTCGGTAGCATGTCCTTGCAACAGGTATGTTAAATTATCCTCTTGTATTTTTTACATCATATTAGCACTTTGCATGCACCTTCGAAGAAAAAATCCTCTTTAAAGATACAAAAAAATCTCATTAATGTGTAAAAGTAGGGGGGGGGGGGGAGTTGAGTAATGTGCACAGGACATAAAAAGCAAGTTAAAGTCGAGGAGCTAGGGGACTCTCTCAGGCTCACTTTATTATAGCTACAAAAAGGGCACCCTCAAGAAAGTTTATTTACTAACAGTTTTTAAAAATCTGAGATTGGCTGCATGTATTCCCCGTATGGATAATTCACGGTGAAAGAAAATTTTATTTTATTCATTTCTGTTTTCTTTTGTGCAATAGAAAATAGACCAATAACCATCTTGTTTTGCAGAGTTTTAAAGTGCTTTTTCCACATCAATTATACGAACCTTACCAGTTTAAAGATCTAACCAGACTAAACTATTATTTGTGAAATACACTTTAAAACGCCACCTTTTAGTAAGGTTTAGGCCCTCATGTTTATGAACTTTGCCTGGAATAGTCGAATTAGAAGCGCGCAATCTCGTGCAATCTCATTTTCGTTTGATGCCGTAAAAATGCGAACATGAATTGTGATGAAATATTCAATATTTTTTATTATTTTTCCAGACGTACGGCCACGGTACAGTAAAAGGTGCGGCGCCTTTCGATTGTGAAGCAGACTGTGAAATGTTGAGGAAGGCCATGCGAGGAATGGGTAAGTGCGCGGAGACAGTCTCGTAACCAGGTGCTTAATTTTTGACAACATCTCCGGTACATTCGCTCTTCTTAACAACGCTCTTCTCGCTAATATATTTAGGAACGGACGAGCAGGCACTGATCGACATACTTGCCTCACGATCCAACGAACAACGTGTCAAAATACGATTGCAGTTTAAGACAATGTTTGGAAAGGTGGGTTCTAATATATAACCTTACGAGAACATGCCAGCCTCGAGAGCAAGACAGTTTTTTCCCTTTTTTTTCTGACAACTTTGACATTCAAAGCGTTCTTTTTTTATATGTCTTATTTTTGCATCTTCGCATAATCCTTTTTTTCTGTGACAACTTTGACACTCAAAGGCAGGTCTTGTTAATGTTTGAAATAAATATTCAGGATTTGATCAACGAGTTGAAGTCTGAGTTGAGTGGAAACTTGGAAGAATGCTTACTGGCGATGATGGAACCGAAGCATTTGTACGACGCTAAATGCCTTCGCCGTGCAATGAGGGTAATTTATTTCGTTCTGTCCCATTATCACTTCCTTGCTGTTTCTAAACTAGTGAAGTTGACCAGTCGCACTGCCACGCAACGCATGCTAATTAGTTGTGTTCAATCCTACACCTCAGGGCGCTGGCACTGATGAAGAAACATTGATCGATATCTTGTGCTCAAGAAGCAACGCGGTAAGTTGGTTTTCAGTCTTTATGTCGAGACATTTTTGTTAGGTAGTTATGCCGTCTTTCCTATACTCTTCTTACTACTCATTTCAGGACATTCAAAAGATTAAAGAGGAATACAAGACGTGTACGTATTTATAATTTCCAAGACATCAAAACTGCCATAGAAAAAAACAACGTTACATACACAGGACTCACAGTCTCGCACTAGCTCATAAATAGAAAAGCATTGTCTTTAATTCAAAAGACGCGTTTACAACATATTTTGCCGGATACAGATTTTCAAATATGTTTCAGCCTTTACTAGACTATGTTCTGATACACAGTATTAACGAGGTAATCAACGCACATATTACAACCTTGTCCGTTTATGAGAATCACATATGTGTAATTGCCAGTATATAGTGAAAGTCATACAACTTTGGTTAACTCCCTCTTCTACTTGTAAAAAAAACTTTTTATAAGTTTATTTGGTCTCTTCCACGACTATACCTATTGATTGACGTCGAATTTCATTTAATTCGTAGACTACAAGCGGGACTTGGAGAAAGATTGTGTTAGCGAGACTAGTGGACATTTCAAAAGGCTTCTCGTTTCCATGGTTCAGGTATAAATCGATTTTTAGTTATTATTAACATTTATTTGTACATACACTACGACCATGTATCAGTATTTCTTTCACTGCAAAGCTTTCTGTCCGTTAACCCACCGCAAGCTAACAGGCTATACTGTTATTTTAGGGCAACCGCGACGAAAGTGGCACAGTCGATATGGCAAAAGCCACAAAAGAAGCCAATGATTTATTCCAGGTGTGAAATTGTATTCTTTGTAGCGCACTGTTGTGTAAACTGGAGTGTTGATTCACTTAACACTGAGAGTTCAATGTGCTGTATATGAAACTGGAGTTATTGAAGAACTCCATTAGGTGAAAAAATTTCAGAGACTGATGACAAAGCGTTTTTCTATTTTTTCCCTGAGTAGTAGCGGTTTTTGTATATCTTAAAGTGAAGTCTTGGAATTTCTACACCGAATAGAAATTTCTCTTAGCTTTTATTACATAATCCAACGTTTCGGGTCAATTTGTTCGACTAAGAAAAAAATTGTTTTGGCTTGAGGCAAATACAGTCATGTTTATCGCTCCAGTTGTAACACGCAGAGATCACATCAGACTAATTATTTTATTTTTCGGTTCAGGCCGGAGAGAAGAAATGGGGAACGGACGAGTCGCGATTTAATGTTATTCTCGCTTCGAGGAGCTTCGTGCAACTTAATGCCACCTTTAATGAATATATTAAGGTAACAAAATTCTCTGTCATTGCTTCACGATATTTGCAGGTATCGTGTAATGGTTGCAATCATAAATACGGGCTACCAAATCAAAGCAGCCTCGCTGTAGATTATCAAATAATGGGATATATACCTGAGTTTCTGCAGGAGAGAAGGCTTTTTAAATCCAGCTCATTTAGGTTGCATTTCAAATGAATTTTAAAGAACAATATATAAAAATAGACAAAGGTCAGGTCTTCCACTTATAGCTTGAAATCGTCTGGGTAGACTTTTTGCAAACCAGGCATACACAGGATTTCGGGATCCACTGCTCTCGTAAAATCCGAATCTGTATAGTTAAACCAGATCCATACGCTATTTTAGGCTTAGATATTATATGTAATGCATGTAGTTCAAATTAACAAATTACCCTTTTTTTGGTATAATAGTCCAGTCATCCAAAAAATGTGCCTTTTTTGGTTTCATGTAATGACTTGTCCCAGTACTTTTTAAAAATTATTTCAGAGTTCATTCAATTCCCAGTAATCGAGATCGTGTAGCAGTCTTAGTAACTTAAACTTTTGAGCTGGCTAGGAGCGAGTCTTTTAGTAATTTCTAATCCTTAATATATTGAAATAATTGCAATATTGCCAGGTTATGAACTAGTGTTCAATGTATCGTATAATATTTTTATTTTATTTTATCAATTCAGGTTGCCCAGCGCGATATCATGAACAGTATTGACCGTGAAATGTCTGGGGATCTAAAAAGCGGCTTCAAGTGCATTGGTAATATTTCATTTGACGATAACGAAAAGGACAGCATGAACATTTTACTTCTTCGATTCATGCAGAAGATTTTGTTACTTTCACCGTTTCATAAGTTCAAGCAAAACCAACCCCAGGCAAACTAGTTCACTTGTTGTGATTGATCCTAGTTACCGAGCTTGCATGGAAAGGTCCAGGCTTGTCTCATTTAACTAAAAAGGACAGAAAGCTACCTTGTGGTGAGCCCACTGTGCCCATAACTTCATCGTCCTCGACCTTATAACCCTTGACCCTGTACTTAGTACCCTCGACCGAAAGCATATTTCATATTTCTCCTAACGCATCTTTTTCTCAATGTTTTTAAAGTGCAATGTGCTCGTAATCCAGCTGTTTACTTTGCCGAACGCCTGTGGAAGAGCATGAAGGGTGCAGGAACGAATGATTCCCTCCTCATCCGTATCGTCGTCTCACGATCAGAGGTGGGTTGAGAACGGTCGGCGTTAGATCATATCGAACTAACGTACATGACGTCATAAAATTTTCAATAACCCTAACCCTAACCGTAATTAAGATAAAGCCAGAGATACTATTACATAAGTATATGATCACTCCTATACCGGGTATGAGGGTAACAGACATTTACACTTTCGTGTACATTTATAAATGTATAAATGTATCATCATTCATCGCCATTTTTATTTTATCATTTTTATGAACCAGCTCTAGAAAGACTTCATGTAAGACTTCTGTTATTATACTTCCGTTATTGCAAAATTTATGACGATATGTACGTTAGTTCGATATGATCTAACACCGACCGTTGAGAACTTTTGTTTCCATTCGAACTATTTTTGTGGTTTCCATGTGACGTCATAGATCCCAGTAGTGATCAACTCGAAATCGAGACCCCGTAATCGGACTGAGTGAGTTCTTCACTATTTGTGGCTTTGTGCTTGGTTGCATGAAAATATGTGCAATGTGGTATCACTTGTTCACTCTTATGCCATGCATGCATAATCGTCGATACAACTCATTGAAATCACTGATTGAAATACGTGTAAAAAATCCCCAACACTGCTGGCTACGATGAGTCCACCAGACTACGATACTATACTCTCTACTAAAAGAAACTCTGAAAATTGGAGTGCTTACCATTTACATGTCAAACATATTTAAAAAATTGATTCCTAACACTAGTCGCTGCATGCATGTTTTTGTCACGTCCTCGTCATAGATTTACGGGATCTTAAACTCGCCAACCACTTCAAGAGGCAGTCAGCCAAACTTGAATACCTTGTGCGGATAGTGGATACGAGAGAAAAACTTTGCACTTGGTAGAACTATACCCGAACACGAGAGCAACTGTGCTGCGGTATACGTAACCGTGTCGCGGAGCCTTCAGCGAATTGATCCATGGCAGGCAGGATAGCTAATAGTCTCTAAGGCAGGATAGCTAATACTCCGGAGTGATCGTGTGTGGTTTTTTGTTCACGTGCGGGAAACGTGCTCAACGTTTGCGTATGTTTTGCGCCAAATGCTAAGCTGCTTTGGTCGACCAGCTGATAGGAATGCGTAGGTCTACAGCGTGATATGTTCCTAATCATATTCAAAATAGCGATCATGGCAACAATATATCTAATTATCTCAACGTGTGCGGCTAGAATGTGAGCTGGGGTTTTCTCTGCGCGAGGTGTTTTGCTCAGCACGTTGCTTTTCCGCGCGGTGAATTTCATATATTTTCTCCCACTAAAGATTTGATAGCTTGCTTGGACGACATGATGCAATTAATTGAACTTTCTATTTCATTCTGAAGAAGGTTTCAAAAAAGAAATGTGCGCCTTAATTTATTTTGTAAACAAGGACGGTCAAAACACACTCTGGTGTCTTAATTCTTCTAAGAGTTAAGACTGGAACTAATTTTAAAGAAAATGTCAAGTTATTTAGATTAATTCTTTTTTTCCTGAAAGACCTTGAAAACATGCGTATTGAAGAAGGCTGGGTGATTTATATATCAAACAAGCTTTCTGCTTTAAATCTTTTTCTCCAAGGTACAAGAAATCCGCAAACTTCTCCATGCTGCACGTCGAAATCATCAGTCTGTCTTTTCCATTTAGGTCGACATGGTTGAAATCAAACAGGAATTTTTGAACCGCTATCACAAGACCGTCTACAAGATGATCGAGGGAGATACCTCTGGCGACTACAAGAAACTTCTTATGGCTTTGGTTGGACGTAATTAGAATATTCTTCGCACAGCTTATACTCTCCGAAAACTTTGTGATTTACATATTAGCATGTCGTGCGCAACAGGTTTGCAAAGGTGCGGTGTGATTTCAATTGCTTGTGGTCTGTAGGAATTTGATGAAATATAACGCGAGAATTGCTAATCTTTATTCGTTCCTTGCCCAATTGTTACCTAGGTAATAATGTTTAGTAGAATAATAATAGTAATTTATATTCGTTCTGTTTTGTGATGCCTGCGCTCTTCGTGCGCAGTATTCTCGGTGTAAATAAAGCGGATTGTGGGATATATTTAGGTTTCCCCTGAATACAGGGCCATGCCTGTAAAATTTACTAACTTTTTTCAGACGCTGTATTATGAGTGCGATAGTCCGTATGTATAAAAGCCCTTTTCTCATTAGCATTAATACCTGATATTTTTCCTGCATTAATACAATCTACGTACTCATTTAAATTTTAAACCCTTCTGACGCAATGGGAGACCATGGCAAAGACGATTATACAAGCGTTTAATCATTCCTGTTAGCATCACGCAGATCTGAGGATCTCAAAGGAAATTAACCGATCCTCGTCCCACTTCCCCTGGCATACCACAAGCTTTGTGAGTTGCTTTGTCCGAGTTGACATTACCCTACTGAATTAGACTTCCCATCGTGAAATATTTGATTTTCTTAAACATTTTGCTGATTATCTCCCTATATATAAAGTAATCGTCTTCGTTTTTCACTGAAAATATATCTCTATACCTCGTTGTCCAGGACTGCTTGAGATTGAAATTCCGAACGCGTTGTTACATTTTGGAATTGCCGGTCAATTGGCTCAAATGTCTCTAATTGGCTTCGGAAACTTATGTGAGCCTGTATCTTGTTACGAAAAACGCTTGCCAACATCTATTCTTTAAATATAGATGACCTTTTCACTCCATTAGCCTAGCCCTTCTGGCCTTCTTGTCATTTTACGATAGGATCCTAGACAAACCTACGGGCATGTGCGCAGTGTCCCATTGGGTGGCCTTGCGCTTGCCAAATACCTGTCCCGATTCCCGAAGGTCGTTGGTTTGGAAAAAAATAGATAAAACACTTCACTGAATTAACCCTATTTTAAGGATGAAAGGTTTATTACTGAGACGACATTCGTGATTGAAGAATTTATTTAATCGGATTTTAGACAGCATTGCAAGCCGGGGTCCTTTCTTGTCTTTCTTCCGTAGCAAGCGGAAAACTGTTGGATTCTGAATCGACCATCACCAGTGACCACTCATAAAACAAAACCTCTTGTTTCAGAATGGTGTTTAAACGTCACATACACATATAGTGAGGCTTTTGGGAACCATTCTTAGGCGACCAAATTTGGTCGCCTTCGATTATCGTGCTGAAGACAATGAGGGGACCTGTGCCAAATTCCTTTTAAAAATCAAAACCACAAACCAGATTGGCAGGAACTTATATTACGTATTGAACCTTTTTGTACGTGTGTTAACACCGTAGTCTCCACAGGAACAGCAGATTGGGCAAAGGCCATTCAAAATTATTTTTGGAAAATGAATGTCCAATTCTTATAGGCCCTGTTTCGAGTGCTACAGCGGTTCGCGTGTTATAACGATGGACAGCCTTGGACAACCTTGACCCGCAGGCGAATTATAGACGTGGCGTGTTATGCTATCATCACTCTAACTCATCTCTTGTTTCGTGTTGCATGCATGTTTAAGCAAAAAAAAGCACTTGAATTAAAGTATTCACAAATTATTCGTACTGCGTTTTAGCCTCACGACACGAAAACATGGAATAGCAAAATTCATTTGTATTCGAATTCCTACACTTTTCCTACACTTCAAATACGTTTGTATTGTGATGCGGGCAATTTCAGTCCCGGTTTGCATCGTAGCAGTAGGATTTCGCATACGTAAATTATCAGTTTTAGTCGGAAATATTTGACAAGTAAGGTATCTTACCCTAGGGCTGATATGTGTTAGTTACGCGCATTTAGAAAGTCAGAGTTTACCAATTCAACAAATTCCGTCAATTCTTAACTATATTTAATTCCCTGCGTAAAAAACTGTCAGCTTTTAAGCCTGGGTCAAAGTATCAAAGAAGAATGCGAGTTGATTTATTTTCAATCAGGCTACGCTCGCGTTTAATCATATATATGACTTTAACGCTCGTTGGTTTTTTGAAAAATTTGAGATAGTTAATTCCCAGTTAATGTGGTTTGACGAGATTTACATGAATTGGCCTTTGTAAGCGTGGCATACAACGTGCATGATTGCATGAACTTGCATCAATTCGTATTCCCGCTTGACCTGGGATTAACGCTTTAATAAAATTTTACGAAATGCTTGTTCATGCTTAATCGCACTCAATTTAAAGAGATCAATGCAAAAAAGAACAAGGAGTGCACGACAATTCTGACTAAATTTCACCGTTTCAAATGTCAAAGCCTGAAAATCGCTTCGTCACTGGGCTATAAAGGACGTCTTTTTTCCTTCACTTTTTTCCATCGACCAAGCGGATATGGAATAATTTTCAATGTCAGTGTTGTTGATTTTCCCTCTTAAGTTTGTTTATAGTTCTTTAGTTAGTTTTGGAGTAGGTGCAAATTCTAAGGTAGAAGGCAAAGCCATATAGAGACTATTCTAAACATCTTTTCTGAAGATTTATCTTTTAAATTCTATTTTGGATGATGTCAAGTCGGTTTGGTACGTGAAAACAAGTAGCGACCGTATAAGGAACTATAACTGCAATCTAATTTTTAATTCATCGATCTCTGATTTCCTGTTAGGTCGTTCGACCACAGAAGGAGGCCATCAGTCCGAATACCAGCGGTATGCTTACTGTTTGCTCACTAAGGCCAGTCCGGAAACCAAATACTGTTGGGTTAATCCTGTTTAATGTATGAAACACATGGAACTATATAATTAGAAATCGATTCTATTGTTCCTGTAATGGCCGTTTTGGTTTTACGCTTAGGCTGTCTCTGGGCTGTCTGTATATCATGATTTTAAATGACCACTCAGGGTGAGGAATTAATTGAATTTTTTCTGTTTAAGTGGAAACAGAACACTTGATCACTAATCTCATTATTCGGATGAATTTATAATACATCAACAAGAGCGAGAAGAATATTCGAAGCTTTGCTAAATTACCTTCGGCATTTACTGTTCTTTCGTGGCGATTTTTAAGCCTTGTCGGTTCAAGATCAAGCAGAGATGAGCGCTATTAAGGAAGATCCAAGCGGCTGGCAGTTAAAGTGTAACTCGTTGTTGGAGAGAAACGCTCAGATGTTTCAGAATTCGCTCTTGAGCGATGTGAGTTTTGTAATAGTCGAGGAAGCCGAAAACGAAGGTGAACAGCCGAGTCGGAGCGAGCCGATTCCAGCACACAAGTACGTACTAGCTATTAGTTCTCCCGTGTTCTTTGCCATGTTTTACGGGGAAATTGCCGAGAAGGATAATTCTATCGAGATACCCGACTCCGATAAGGATAGTTTTATACAGTTTCTCAGCTTTTTGTATACGGACAAATGCGAACTGAACATCGACAGCGTTTCGGTTGTATTTTACCTCGCGAAAAAGTACATGGTGCCGTCGCTAATCAACCACTGTATTAATTATTTGATCAAGAATCTTACCGCGCAGAACGTGTTTAGCATTTGCAGAAGAAACACATTTGGTTAACAAATGCTGGAACATTGTGGAGATTCAGTGTTCAGAAGCATTAACAAGCGACGGCTTCCTTCGGGTTTCCCACGGGATCCTGAAAGATCTACTTAGCCGAGATACCCTAGACGTGCAAGAGATTACCCTTTTCAAAGCTTGCTCGCGTTGGGCAGAGTTCCAATGCAGGCAACTGAACTTGCCTGTCACCCCGGAGGAGAAGAGAAAGGTGTTAGGGGATGCACTGGATTTGATACGTTACCCAGTCATCGGTGAAGATCGCTTTGCGCGTGATGTTGTCCAAACGAACTTGCTGCCCCATGAAACAACCGTCCATGTATTCCTCATGTTCAAGAATTTGATGAAGGAACAACGCTTTTCGAAAAAACAGAGAAAAAAGCGTTGGGAAATTTTTATCTGCAATCGCTACTCTGATGCAAAGGCAAAGTATTACCTCCCCTTGGTTAAAGATCGTGACAACTCTGGTCTGCCAGATCGCATAGCCTTTACAGTAAACAAGCGGATCATGATACATGGCGTTCGATTGTTTGGCGAGCATACCGGCGAGAAATATAAAGTAAAGTTGGATATTAGTGATAATAACAATGAAGTTGTTGGATCAAAGGAGGGTGACTTTTTTTCCAAGGTTCTGAATTACCAAGAGAAAGGGCTTTATGTCTTTGACGTGTTCTTCAATGATCCAGTCGAGGTCAAGATCGGCACCAGGTACACACTAGCAGCACTGCTGGAAGGCCCACGGACATGTTATGCTATCAATGCTTCGTCATCGGTTGACGCAAGCGGTGTGATTTTCACCTTTTTTGATGTGGACAATTCCTACAGTGAGACCAGTGTTCGAACTGGACAGTTCATGAATCTGTTCTTTTCCTTGATTGTGCCTGATCAAGGGGGGAAATCTGAATCACCAAAGGAGAAAAGGCCATCTGTTAGCAAGGCACGATAGGCAATGGTGGACGTCCTAATAGTCTCACATCCTGCAATGGTGGTTAGTACTGTTGATTTTACAGTCTGTTTGACAACAGAAATATCCAATCTTTGCACACAACTATGTTCTACAAAGAATGCACAAGGAATGTGAGAACATTATCGCAATATATATGGTAGGCCACTCAGTTACTAACCCCTTACATCACATGAATAGCAGCCTAGTCCTAATTTCCCTTAAGCTAACATAGCCCAAAAGCGCAGCAATTCTATGCATGTTATTGCTTATGACATCTCAGAAAACTAAGCAGACTTCAGTATTGCCAGCACTTTCCTGGTATGTGTAGATATTCATACTAGAGAAACAGAAAGGTCTTTTTTCTCCATACTGTTACCAATATATCATTCATGCAAACAATGTTTTCTGGCTCTTGTGCTAGGTGACCACTTTTACCAATGTAAGATCATTATTTTACTGAAATCTGCTAGGCTTTCTTACATGTTGCTATAGCACAGAGGTCTTGGGCTGCAAAAAAACAGACTGAACAGTCAAAATAATGTAGTTATGCTATGTAGTCAGGCTATGCAGGTTTGAAAATTCCCAATCAAAATTCATGTTGCTCAGGTACTTTTCTGAACTGTGACTACCCCTAAATGTAGAATTCTAGGATCTAAAATACAACTGTAATATATGAGATAAGCATATGTGGATAGGATAGTCTATTTTAAATTGTAGTTATATACCTGTATATTTATATAGTATGAGCTTGGCAAATATTTTTCAATGCTGATTGTGCTACTTGCTGTGGTACATATTCAGAGCATAAGTTTAAATGTATGCAAATTTGCAAATTGTACTTTCTTTAAGCTAATTAATACCAAGTATTTATGTAAAAGGAATAAAGACAGGGAGCTATTTTTCAAGCAAATTAAAAAAAAGGATTTACATTTTGAACTTTTACATTTGTGGTAAAATATCACCATTTGAATTGATATTTTTCTCTTTCAAATGTTTTCAGAAAAAGGGTTCATCATAGGTTGCAAATTACCACTTATCATTCTTCAAGGCAACATTCTTCAAAGATCTATATTTTCAATAATTTATATTAAGCCAGCATTATATTAGCATTAATACCAGGCATTTGCGAGTTTTCAAGCTCTCAACATCAGTCATCAAGACTTGCTTGTGCATGTATTTTTTTATGTAAAGATATATACACATATTCCCCATTCAAATTCCCTCTATTTACTGTAGTTTAAACTTCTAACATTTTGCACTTCGGCAAATATATTACAAATATATTCACTTTAAATATATATTAGTACATTATTTAGGTAGTAACGTTACTAGTATGTATTAGTGATGTGGCCTATATTTGCGATTAAGTAATTCACTTGGCTGTTTTTTTTTGAAAAGCTTAGCCTTCGCATGCATGAAAGCAATGAATTTGTCTAAATACTTGTCGTAGAAGAGTTCTTAATTAATATCAAGAATTCAAGATATTGTATTGTTTAGAGCAAGTCAAACGTTGCCCGTTTAACAGATACTCATAGGGCCATGCACGTAATGCAGTACGAGTAACTACATCTTATAAAAAAATCCGTTGATCCGACTAAAATTTCAATTTCAATAACTGCCAGTATTTTAAAAATCTCACTCCCCATGCTGAGTGCATGTGCCTGCATGACCTAGAAATTGTGTTTCAGCTTTCAACTACAAGACGAGTTTTTTCTGTTCTCAATTGCGAATTTCAAGATTATGATTTATGGCGGTAAACATTGATATCATGCTCTGACTCGAGTGAAATATGTTCTCACTTAGAAAAGTTGAAAACGTGATTGATCTCCTACTCGATCAGTTTGAGTGAAATGAGTTTTTTAGCTTGAGAATACACTCAGCTGAACCTATAATATATGATACATTTTCTATGGCTAATGACAATGTAGTGCTGTTTGCTGTATACACAGTAGCTATTCCTGATTTTAATTAAGAGGAGATTTTTTATTATGTCGCGTATTTTGGCGGGAAAACGCTCAAAATCTAAAATCTTTTCGGCGTACCACTCAAAATCCATTTATTTTACCGTTATTCTTTAGATCATGTTGTGAACTAAGTTTTGAACTGTATTTGGTGAATGCAAAACACCAAACAAAGGAGTTATTACAAAATATAATGTGGCGGCTGCAACAATGTTACAATGTCAACGCCATTATAACTGAAATGAATGCAAAAGAAGCTTCGACTCAAGTGTCATTTTCTTCTCGGCGTATCCCGAGAAATCTTTTCATTTTCACAATATTTTGAGATTATACAGTAGCCATACTTTGTGGATGCTTTTCAGGTGTGCAAAACATTTTTAATGCTGAAAATTTTAGCGCTGTTTTATAAAGATATAACTGAGGTTTTGAGCATATATTACGCGACATAGAAAAATATCTCCTCTTAACATGTTACATGTCTCTTCTCGTCCCAGGGCGCTTATATATAGCAAATAACTATATGAGCGCCCTGGTTAAAATTACATGTAAAAACGCGCGCGCGGTCATACATGCATGTTACGAGGATAAAATATTCTTCAAGATTTCTTCGTAAAATGGTCCAAATACCGCGTAATTGTGTGAGACAAGGTGTCCAAATTTCTTCCATATATCAAGTAGTTCATGTTCGATGTCCGCAAGTGTTGCAGGCACAGTTGCTGGGGTCGTGTTCGAGGCATTGGGTTGGAGCAATCCGTTCTTCACGAAATCGTACATCCGTTTTTCTTTATATAGGAAAGAAATAAGAACATTTAAAGTTAAACGAAGTAACCAACTTTAGCGTACATCAATGTGCAGCCATGATAAAATGTGACCAAATGAAAACTAAAATAAAAACATGAGGCGATAAAAGAACTATAGCAGCCCAATGGCGACTCGCGTGTTCAGGCAATGTAGGCATTATATAGCATACTGTATAATGCCTACATTGCCTGAACACGCGAGTCGCCATTGGGCTGCCTATGTAGCAACGAGCATATACACGTTCCTTAGTTTAAAAACACAAGAACAATGAGACTGGTGTATATTCGAACTGATAACTATCTTTATTTCACAATTCGATGTTTTCAAAAATAAGAACTTTTCCAATCATTTTTTGTAAGTGATTTTAACTGGTATGAGTTTTACACTTTGGCTATACTCACTGAATAGCTGACAAATGTTGTTCCCGTCTTCCGCCAAATTCATAATTTGTTGTCTTAACACGATCGTTTTCTCTTCATCCAAACTTGCCAGCTCCCTCTTTGATAAGAATGAGTCCGTTTCTTTGATGACCTGCTCGCATATATTTGGAAAAGCATTCGCCAGGTCACTATATAAATGAAAAAAACCCAACACATTTAAAGGCTTTGTAAGGAGCAATTCGGATCACGATGAAAGGGGGTCAGAATTGCAGAGTTTCGTTTGCAGTTTGCTAGCATTTTTATCACTTAAATTACCTAAAAATGTATTAACTATATATGGTTTAAAATTCATAGGAATTTCTCTGCCATTCGTGTGAAAACAATGATTTAACGATTAATTTTATAATTGAAGGCCGTGTGGGTTAACCACCGTTTTCCTACATCAGTATGATTGAATTGCTGAAAAACGTTTCAAAAGAGTATTCCAATTCAATACATTTTATTCAAGATTTCATGGTTTTGAAGACTCGTGCAATATGGTATCACCTGAACTTGAGAGGCGAAACATCCTATACCTTTCTCGTAGGTCCTTTAGTAGAACTGCTACAGATTCCTTTAACGTGGTCTTATATTCAGCGTCCGATGCTAAATGTTTTCCCACGATGTTCAACGTAACGGCAATGACCGATACAACTTTGACCAGGCACTGCGCAGAAAGCCTCGTCTCAGCTACGCGATAACTGTCCATGAATAGAGTCTGTGTAGAAGAAAGTAATATGTGAGAAAACGTCGTTATTTTATCGCTTTATTAGACCTGGATTAGTATATAGCACAGGAGAAAAAAACTATACTTCATATATTCGCAGAAAAGCTGTATATATACAAGGTAGTATATGAGAGAGTTTTATAAACTTTTATTCATACTTGTTCGCCAAGTGGTAGTATATATATTTACTGGTCCTATACTTTTCATTAAAACGATACTACTGTTCTAAACTACCATTCTCTATCACTCTCACTTTTATATAACATTTTACCTCTGGGAATGGAAAGTTTCCTTCACCTAACAAAATTCCACTATAGCAATGCCTGCATACGTCCACTAATCCCACATTCGTCGTCCCTTCGCGACCATCGTTACCGCAAGAGGCTCCTGAACGATCACCGTCTATCCCTACAGGATCATCAGAAGCATTAAGCTCTCTTCTGGCCACATCGTGACCCTTTTTTATCCACTGTTCGGTGGAGAGTAGACCGTTTGGGTTTGCTTTCAGATACTCTTTGAACTTTTGCCTTTCGTATTCAACTGATTGTTGCACGATTTGTGGTCGAAGAACAGACAGTCTGTAGTTGGCCATGTCCAATTTCATTAGGTCCAAAACGCGGAATATCTCCCTGAGAACGATAGAAATAAACGTGAAAGACACGTATTTGACTTTGGAATAACAAGAGAATCGCTCTAAAGTTGTTTGATTGCCCGTAGTGGCAGTAGCAGTGCGATGATGATGGTCATCCAAACAGCCCTGGCGACTGGCCCCTATAATGATGATTTTGATCTCAAGGATCCCAGAAAAGGAGGAAACAGTTTAATGTGAAATTCTGAGATCCATTCGGATTCGGAGAGAAAACCCTAGAAGCATAGGCAGGGGAGGGGGGGGGATATAGGAATCAACGAAATAGTGAAGAATGCTAAGGTTTATAAAGCGAGTACTACCTCATTGTACCAAATCCATATTAATTTGATAGATTTGGATATTCATTCAGGTCTCGGACGTAAAAGCTCTTTAACACTGCCTTTTAATACCTACAAAATTTTACCTGCTGTTCCGATTGTAATCCGGTATAGTGTAAACTGGACCTCAGTGGTAAGAGGAAGCGCGCTAACGCCATCCGGCGTTCCTTTCAAGAGCTAACATGCTACCGTATATTCGCCAGTACCCTTACCTGAACAGTGCCACCAGGCCGTCTTCGACGGTGCTCAGTTTCCTAATGTCTTCATCTCTCGCTGGCACGCATATTCTGGACATCGTTTGAATGATGAAGTTCGCATAGCCAGGGATGTCCACATTGCCATGCACACTTTGTTGTTTGATCAAGTCGATGTCGAGTACGGAGTTGATCCGTTCCCTTAGACTGTGGTTGTGTTCAAAGGTAAGGGAGAGTAGCGTCTACATTTGTAAAAGTTAGATTGTAAATTTGGTGTCAGCAGCCACCCGTACGCGTGTGTTTTTCATCCGAGCTTTAGATGAAAGTCTTGTTGGATTTAAAGCCTTGTTGGAAAACTATCAAATTTTCTTTGGCATGTGTTGAATCCAGGGCCCGTGTGAATTTGGGAATTTGTATTTGTAAGAAAAATTTGTTGCGGCAAATGCAGTAAGTTTGACCTGATTTCATGTACATATAGCTACATTTTTATAATTTTAATTCATTTTAATTATACAGGAGAGCCGGTCAAAAACATTACAGAATGAAGAAATGAAGAAATTTTGACAAGAGCAAACGAGAAGACGGAAAAACTATAAGGTATATAAAACTATTTGGTATACTGGTATAGAACTGAAGCCTTTCAAGAAAGAATAGGAGGTGAATGACCAAGGCTATGTTCACACGGGACCGGATGAATTTGGGATTTTGCTCGAATACGGCCCCGTTCAGGTGATCACATGGTAAAAATGGATGCAAATTTGACCGGTTCGCATGAATTAAGAAACCGGACGAATTAGAGCTCGGTCCAAAATTCGCCCAGCCCGGTGTGAACGCCAGCCTAATAAGCAAGGGAAACATGAAAAAAGCAAGAAAAGTTTAAGTTCGTCGGCCATGAACTGGCAGACGAAATTTTTGCTTCATTATCGAGGGAAGGTTTATTCGGCACTTCTGCCAAAACGATCTCCTATAATGCCAAATGCCTCCTGTTCCATTCAACAGTTTGTCGGATACGACAACGTCAATAAACGCGATAATAAAGATTGCAAAAAGCATGAAGAACGTCACAGGCAATACTAGGATGGTATCACATTTTGCTGGGTGATGGTTTGTTCTAATATAACTTTCCAGTACACTACAGTGTTACCATACAATAAAGCGTAACTAGTTTTTATACCTCCTTCACTTCTGCCAGGAGTTTAATCGCATGTTCATAATTTGGAGGATCTTGGCTGATGCTTTCTTGTAGGATGTCCCAAAATGCTTGATGAACGATTTTTTTCACTTGCCCTTCGAAACTGCCAAAGTATAGTTTATAATTTGACATAGATTATTGTTTTAATGTACAACCATTAATAGCATGTTCCTTGGTAAAAATCTATTGTGTACCGGTATATACCTATTTGAAAAACCTTTCAGCATGCACACACATAACAAATGTATACTATGCAAATGATGCAATATACCTGCAGCACTGCATATACTATAGCATACCATATTGTACAATGGTACTAAAAGTTTAGGCACTGTAATCCCCACCATACCATATAAATTATACCATACTAATTACTAAGGCATACCATGTACTGTACAGCAATTATAATGAATCATATCCTAGCATACCCTACTATACAATATCACTCAAAATGTACCACATTACCATATAGAGTACTAATATAGTACCCTATGTACAGTACAACGTAGTACTTAGTATATACTAAGTCAGATCTATATGTCTATAAGAGACCTTCAAAGATTACTTCAATCTGAATAATCTGATGCATTAAACCTAATAGTTGTGTTAGGTTTGATAAAAAACCAATATTTAATATCTAAGTTCATAGCAATGCATTATGTTACACAAAGTTATTAGGAATGGTAATGAAGCAATATTGGCTAACATTTTTTTAGTCATATGCTGATCGAGCCAAAGAATTAACTTAATGAGGCCCACAACTTATAAATGACACATTTTTGAGGAATTTTTTCGTAGGTGCCCACAATTCTGACAGGGAGGAGGTAGTACTAGTCCCCCTGGTTTAATTCCAATCTGGCTATTTAACCTCTGATTGACTACCATATTATATAATTATTATATACTGTTACAGTGTAACTTTAGTGTAAGTAATTGAGGTATGCCTGGTATGGTCATGCAAACATTCTAACGCTTATGAATAATACACCTTTTTACATCAAAACAACAATATAACACTAGGTCAATATAGCTATTATCAGCTATTACATATATTTAATCCAAGACAAATCAGATGAAAACTGCAAAGGTAACTTGAAAAACATTTCAATGTACTCACGAATCTGAAGCCGCCTCGTTCAATTTAAAATCGGAGTTCAAAGCCATTTCGTGAGCTATGGCCATATTCTGAACAATAGATTCAAAACTGGACGATCCTTCGCTCCTCGCTCCTTGCAAATTTGAATCGTTTTTCTCTCCGTCCTTTTCCATCGAAAAATTCTGTAAAAATCTTCGAAATTCAGAAAATTGTCAAAGCTTGTATTCCTTTTAATCGCAGGACTGTTATTGTTTTCAATTTTTTCACGCGCGACTGATTTTCGTGCCGTTTTGACAATGTAAACACAAGGAACACAAGGAATATTGATCGTGTATCGTGTGTATCCATTGGATATAGATATTGGAGCAGTTTCAAATACGGGGGTGGGCATGCACTAATAGTTTTAGCCTCTAAGTTTATTCTTAACTATTCCATTAATTTCAACATGAATTTTTTCATAGAATGACTACAAAGAGTATGCTTAGAGCTCCGATTTTGTAACATAATTTGTAAAAAACGTAATAATTACTTTTTGCTACATTTTCCTTAGCTACATTTTCCTGGTTAAAAACTCTATTCCCCCCGGAAAAATAGTCACCGAGCAGGCAAATCATGATGGTCAGTTGCTTCTCTCTCTTTCCCTTTGTTTTGCTAGCAAGAACCGACTTGCAAAAATGGTGAGAAAAATCTCTATTTATTACATGCATCCCGGTATATTATTTGAATTATAAGCCATATGTTGTTAAATCGACATCTATTCCTTACAAATATATAATTTTTTGTTAAGCAGAGCAAATTTTTTGGCATTATTTATTGTTTTGCCTTGCCTATATTTCGAGTCAGTTTTGAATGTAGCAAAGGACACGTCAATTTGCTATTATATCCAATAGATATATAAGTGGTTTAAAAGCATATTGTAGACAATCAGTAATCCTGTTTTTAAATAACCTATTTGAGATTTGAACGATTACATTTGTTGCGCTGCAGACAGTACAATATGTTTTTACAAATATGAAATAACATTTGAATAATTTGCTACAGACATGGGTTGCAAAATTGATTTAATTTCATATTAAGTTATGTAGATAATTTTATTTTACATATGCAATATTGGAGTTATAAAGGCATTTTACTTTGTGCATTCATGAGTATAAAGTTGATCCTTCACGATGTAATATGATCCAGTATGTACAGCAGCAATTTTCAATTTTGCAGACCATTTGTAGGAATTGACCCTTAAATGCATTGCTTCCTAGTCCCACTTGCAAATTACCTTCAATTTCTTTATGTTCACTACTGCATTTTCTTCATTTAATAACATGGTACATTTGCTGTTCATTTGATTTTACTATTTTTTTTTAATTTACTAGGAGATCCAAATGAGCAGATATGTCAGCCCAGTCAACCCAGCTGTCTTTCCACATCTCACATTGGTACTGATGTCCATAGGATTGTTTTTCACTGCTTGGTTCTTTGTGTATCCTTTCACAAGTTTTATTTTCTCCATTACTCATTTATAACTATCAACACTTGCTTTTGGAAAATGTCTCTGAATGTTTGTAGGTTTAGAATGTTTGTTTCATATTTCCAAGGTTTCTTTTGAAGTTCATGTCCATGATTTATGATAAGCAAGTAAAAGCTTATTAGAGGTCATTAAAAAAGTCATTGGAACAAAGTTTTAAATTAATTTTGGAACATCATAACAACAATCCTGAAGTTAAAGGCACGCTTTACTAGCAAAGTGATTGGAAACTATATAGCAAAAACTGGCACAATTTAATTCAATCTACTGGTCAAAATCAGATTGAATTACCATCTAACAGATCAATTAAAATATCTGTTAATGTTTGTAAATGTGTTTATGTATTCTCTTTGACAAAATTGCCAGATATGAGGTTACGTCCAGTAAATTCACACGAGATATTTATAAGGAGTTGCTGGTAGCTTTAGTGGCATCACTGTTCTTAGGATTTGGCATTCTGTTCCTTCTCTTGTGGGTTGGAATTTATGTGTAACCAATCTTATAGAAACAATTTTAAAAACAATGTGGCGTTGCTATGCAGATAGGAAGATGGACAATTGTCAACCTCTAATGTGTGGTAAACTCTGTAAAAAGGATTGAAATGTGTAGAAATAAAGTGCTAAATTTAAGTGGGATACGTAATTTTAAAAAGCACAAGTGAATTTAAAATTAATATCCAACATGAAAATCAACATCATTGAACATACAGCAATTTCAATGACAAAAGGCCTGGAAAATATCTTGACCAAATTTATTGCATATTAAAACTGTGAATGGCTGCTTTGTGGGACCAAGGCGGTTGCATATGAGAACGAGATTTTGAGAAAAAGAAGTGCATTTCTAAACATTCAATTCCTGCAAATATGGATCAAAATCGTTGCAATTTTTGTTGCAAGTTTTGCTTTTAGCTTGGGTCAGCTGTGCAGCTCGTGCTCCATATCCAATATGGCGGCTCGATCGGCACGAAGCTTTCTTCAAGCTGGGACGAAATCCTTTGGTGTTTTGAGAAAGATCTCGGGAAAAAATAATATACAAAGTAGGTGATGAATTGGTACAATCCTATATATATTTGATTTTGTGTGCGTGCGTTAACATGTTATGTGGAATGTCGAATATTTTGACATAATACAGACTATACAGTCTGCAAGAGGCAAATTTTAGTGCATGTTGGTTCGTTATATCTATGGTAGTTGTGCGACCTCACAAACGAAGATGATACAGGTCAATGGTGATACAGTGCAAAATTAATACATATATTATATTGCTATATTGAAGAAGATGGAACGGTTGGTTTTATGTAGCACGTGTGGTTTTTCCAAAATAGCTTGGAGTAATTTTTTGACTAAAATTGTCAAGGGGGGGTGGTCAACCTCCCTGACCCAGAGCTAAGGCTCTTTGCTTGATCTGCCAATTAATATGGGTTTTTAATTTTGGTATAGTCTATTCATATAGTCCCACACTATATTCTAATTCTATTAGCTACTAATGCATGTTCTTGACTTTCTGCAGGTTGTTTAAAATCATTGCACAGAACAAGTAGTTCAAGTCTTCAGGGAAATCCTGCCTTGTCTGCCATACTACAAAATCTAACAAAACGAAGGTGAGACATCTATGTGGTGCTAGTGTGGAAAGTAGGTGTTCAATGTTGCACAACCAAGCTATCAGATGTGCAATTTTGATATCCTCTATTTACTTACTAGTATTGTTTTTAAATCTTGGAAACACAATTTCCACACTTTCCATTCTGGGAGTGGTATATATATTGGGATTGGTGCTCTAGTGTTAGTGCACCATTCCATCCATTGTGAAAAAAGAAATATTATATCTAACCTGGGATGTATATAGCTTATAGTATTGTAAATATTATGATTTATTATAGCGTCATAATACAGCACTGCCAGCTTTAGAAGGATAATTGAGTAAACAATCAATTATGAAACCTGTATCAATGAACTCACATCAATCATCATTTGTTTTTGAATGTTTTTTCTGCTTAGTTCACCATCATTTGTAAGCCACATAAGGCGATTACAAGATATTGCTATCAATATTGACACTGCCACATGTGACATGTCAAGCAATCAAGACAACTCTCAGGATATATCATTGTTAGAGCAATGCTCAGAAGACGATGATGAACAATTTCGAAAAAAAGGTAATCTTTGATCACTGTAAGGGTCATACAATTACATCAAGTACAACTTTCTCTGTGATGTGCTCTGTCTTAATGTATATATGATTAAAATTTTAATTAACCTTGAAGTTTTAGTTACAGTAATTTTTCGAATGCAAACAGTAGGTATATTTTGTATTATAGGTAAAGATATTCATAGCCAAATAAAGGATGAAGTAAAGTTTGCACAGCTCAATGGAAATATTTTTGCTATTGTATATATTGGTTAGTTTACAGAAATAATTTTATTCAGAATGGCTCGAGCATTATTAATATAATATGATATGAGGGATAGTCTTTACTGCCTTGCTGGACAATTTGTAAAATTTAGAGTTGACAAAGAGGATTTCAGGTGTATTTTAAATGCATGATATTGGGTGCATAAATAATAAATAAATATTTTGGTACAGCTAATATGCCAATGTGCATAACCTTAGGAATTATGTTTTTTTAATCTATAGGTGGAAGTCAGTTTAAAGTTGCAATGAATGACATAATAATAGTGAACAAATTAAATGCTGAAGTTGGATCTAAGATAAAACTAGAAAAGGTCAGAATTTTGATTTCTTTTTTTACAGTAAACTGTGTTTTAGGGTTCATTGTAGAGTAAATATTGTTGAATTTTTTTACATTTTTCAGGTTCTTTTAGTTGGAGGTGAACACTTCACTATTGTTGGTCGTCCTCTAGTTGAGTAAGTGCTATTATCAACTAAGGAGGTTCATTAAACAACAGTCGCCATCATAACAGTCCCTCTTAATCCTTCGCAGATGTAACACAGTGGATGTACAAGCAACAATTATGGAGCATACAAAAACAGAGAAAATAATTGTTTTTAAAAAGAAGAGAAGAAAAGGCTATAAGCGAACTCAAGGTGGAATGTAGCTTTATTTACTTTGTCATTGTACTTTTTTATGTAATTATTGTCAGTATTGTAGCTGGCATTTTCTTCATATGAAGTTAAATCTCCTGGTTTTTTGTAGCATCTATACAAATTATTCGATCATCAAACAATTACATGTATGTAAATTCTGTATTCCTTTCAGGTCATCGTCAAGCCCTGAGTGTTTTGAGGATCAACAAGATTGGGGTTAATTCAACTTCATTATAAAGTGCTTGCTAGTACAGATAAATGCTCAAAAGGTTTACTTTTTAAATTTTTACATTGTCCTGACTATTTCTTGATAATGGGAATTTAAATACTTAATAATTATAAGAAATTAAGTTTTAATTCTTTTTCCCTCTCAAATGTTGCCAGTTTGTATAATGGTGACCTTGAGAAAATTGAATAGAGAACACTAACATATTGGTGGCATGTCAAAACTTATCATGGCATTCTGACTAGTTCTATGCCAGGCTTAAATAAAGATGTGGTACATTATTTCTTGCAACTGTATGCATTATCAGGCAAAATGCTGTTCACATTTTACATTTCTGGTTCATAAAACCTCATCATCTGTAAGCTACTCTACAAGATTAGATTTATTCACTGTTGAAATTATACCATTACACCCAACTCTTGCAATGACACTAGTTTCCAAGGCAACGGTTTTGTTAGGTTTTGTTTCCATTCCCTCTTCAATCATGGCCGTGGTATGTCGTATGATCTGTGTGTCCCATCCACATGTTCTCAAACAACCATCTATGGGGCTCCATGACAAATCACGAACAAAGTCTTTGTGGTCATTATTTTGATAGCTAAAATACCAAGGTGAAAATTAGATTTCATATACAAGTGGCCTATTTTTTTAAACCTTTTTATTTTCTAATAACCTACCATGTCTGATTAGCATTTAGGTCTAAAATATTTACGACACAGTCGTTAGATACAGATGCCAACCATGATGTTCTAAATAAACAACACATGATATGATAAAGTTTTTAATGCAGGTTTATGCAATTTTTTCAAATAAATTTTTAGTACTATTGTGCTTACTTTTTTGGGCAGAATGCTACAGCATTCACATCACGACAATGAGGTTTACGCTGAACCAAGGCCTGATCTATGTTCCTTATGTCATAACATGAAACACTGCCATCTTTATAACCTAGAAAAATATTGTAAAAAAATTTGAGTGTACATCATTAGCAAGTTATAGTGTGCAGAAAGCAGTAAACAACTTGTGGGACCATCCTATTACCTATAGCTAGGTAATTCCCAGTTTGATCCCATGTCAAACATAGTGGAGCTGCAGAGTGATGCTTTGAATCTGAACAAAAGGACAAGGAATATATATTAACTTTCCTACAACATTATATTAGTGCATGCTAACAGTAGCAACAATGCCACATACTCAACAATAGCTTTGCTGGTTTGTCATTTCTAAGATCCCAATGAACAATGTTGCCATCCTAAACAACAACAAAAAATAATATTTCTTTTCTAAAAGTATGATGCCATAAATTATAATGGCTCCATTTATCTTGTTTATTATTTATAGGAGTTTTCAGCCTTGAGAAGATGAAATTTTTTACCCTAATTTGTTTATTCTCATGTGTAAATACCTCTGATGCTGATGCAAATATTTCTTTTTCTTCTTGTCTAAAACAAACTCCATACACAGCATCAGAATGACCTGGGAAAACAATTTTATCCTTGTTATTTGTTTGAATTTTTGAGTACAAAGTCTTAACACTACAATGGATAAATACCTTGAAATGTATCTGTACATGCCTCTCTTTCTAGATCCCATACTCTGATGCTGAAAAATTTTGTGTAAAAAAATTCATACTGTATTATATACAAAAAATAAGTTGGAAAAGCAATCAATCATAATTAGCCATCACAAAGGGCAATTATATTCCCTACTAATACCATCCACAAATGGCCAAATATCACCAGTCAATATTTTACCAACCTCATATCCAAACTACCACTGACTATCTTAACTTTGTCACAATTTACGGAGATACTGTGCACAATGTCATCATGTCCTGTTAAATTTGCTAAAATTTCAACTTCGTTAAAACTTTCACCAGTAGACCACAGTTCTATAATGCCATTGTCAGAGGCAAATGCTAATCGTTTCTCATCAAGCCAGGAAAGGTCTGTGCAACCAGCATCAGTTGATGCACAGCAGCTACAGTGTTTGTTATCAGGTGCATATATACTGTCTGGGGCTTGGTCTGGTGTTTTAAACAACCATAAAGAACCATTCCAGTAACGACCAGTTAACTTTGATGAACCAATTGCAAGTTTACCATCTGTTTCAAACATGAAATGTATTTGGATTACTTATGATTACTGTCCTTACGTTTTAACAAAGCCTGAAGCATATTGTTTATATTTAACTATCTACCCTCATGTAAAAGAATATCCCTTTGGCCTCTCCCACATACAACTTTGGCCCAATTTCTATGAAACAGATAATCAATCTTGACAAAGTGATTACTTCACTTGTGATTTGTTTAATTTCCTGCATCTACACACCAAATACACAGATTCAAAAGACAAACTTATGATCTGTCTCTAATATAAATCCAGTTTCTAATATAAATCCTATGGTACTCCTTTGCAGAGAGGCACAATCGGACAAAGAACAACGCCCCCTCTAACTCTACTCTACAAGTGCTTACTGCTTAGCTTCCGATACTCTTAATCTGTAACCTTTGAGAAATACGTTTTCGCCTGTTTTTACCAAACAGTATTACGAACTATAGGCTAGTGTGAGCATTAAGCACTACCGGCACTGGGTATTTCATAGTTTAGAAGTAATAGAAAAGCTGGTGTAACGTGAAAAGGATTGAAGTCGTATTATTTTACCTGGTGAATGGTCAATCGCGTCGATAGATGGGTAGACTTCCGAGGGAAAAACATCCATAATCGGTCTTTAAATAAATTTTGAATGTAGCGCAGGAAAATACAGAAAAATCAATAAAATTTTACCAAAAAACAAACTGGGTTACTACATGTGTTGCAGTGTTGCTGGCGCCCGCGAACATAATTATACATTCTAATTTATTCTTATTTATTCTAATTTATTTTTATTTATTCTAAAATGATCCATGAAAAGTTGGATTATCACTATTATGTATTAAATTGTAGCTACTACTAGTCTTTCATATTCTTTCATGCTTGTGTTGTGCGTACACGCGTTTCTTGTTTTTTGTGCTCTGCTTTTCTTGTGTCTGCGATCTATCACAGACGTCGAATCATATCAGGCTGGCCCCTACTTTAATAACTGGCTGAAATGTCATTGCTGAAATGCTTGGTCCCCTGGCTGTGCCCCCCTCCGCCCCCTCGCCTGCACGCATATGTGCCAATGATATGTGTATGCCCTCCTCGCTAAAATCATGAGAGTTGGTAGTCTATTAAATCCGGAAATATCAGGGAATAGGAAATATCATTAAGTGGAAACATTAATTTAATCATGAATCGAACAAAACCAAAAGTTATAGAATAAGCAGCATGGAGTAAAAGAAGATTATATACGTATTTTTGATCGGACCACAGATATGCCCAGTAAGAAGAAAGAATCGAAATCAGGGCAACAAAGTGCCTCGTGGGAGAAACCAGATGACGTTCTTCAAGCAGTTATACTGGCAGACAGTTTCAACTTCAGATTTCTGCCTATAACGTTGGAAAAACCAAGGGTATGGAGTGCGGGAAGGAAATATATTTGCATATAGGGCTTGTTACATAGATACCAGTCATTTTCATCTGGTCATTATCACTACTATGTTATCATCATGACAACTACCCCATTATCATCATCACTACTATGTCTACTATCCCATCATCATCATCACTATTTTCCCATCATCATCATCATTCATCAAGTGCTACTATATCCATTATAATTCATCATCATCACTACTATATCCCATCATTATCATCACTACTATATCCCATCATTATCATCACTACCATGCATGATTACCATCATGATCATTGCCATCTATTTGATAATCATGATCATTGCCATCTATTTGATCATATATCATCACAAACTGCAAAAGGCATCACTACATGTGCATGTGAAGAGCAATACATATATCATAACCATGTCTAATATTGCACAGGAATAACATAGAAGGCATGGAAGTGACCATTACTCGATCAGCTGATCACCATTGTTTACCATCATAACAAAAATCATTTATATTATTATATAATCATCATCTGTCCATCAGTGCAGTCTTTACCAACATCTTGATGGTCATGCACATGACCACTATAATTTAAACCACAATCAACACCACCTACATTTTTATTTAGGCCTTACTCCCTTTGGTCAACTACACACTACTTGATTATACAGTAGACTTTTTGATTGGCTCTGGAATCAAAGAAATATTTGTCTTTTGCTCCTCCCATGCAAAACAGATTATCAATTTTATCAAGTATGTGAAGGATTGTAAAATTGATTTTTACATGGAAAAAATCTTAAATTGAATAGTGTGACAGCTAGATGAATTAAACTCATAAATGTATTAGAGAATTATTCCCTGTTTTATGTAGGCTGGGCTGCCTGGTAGTTAGATTTGCAGAATTAGATAGCATTGGTTAGCCATCTGAGCAAATTATTGTTCAGGTTCCCTAGGACGAACACAGCAGCTAGCTTAAATAAATATTCACAACAAACTAAGTTAGTTTTACATTAAGTTCCATCATCTTTGCACCAGAAGACCATTTTTAGATTGATGTGGTAGTAAATACAGCTTGTTTATATATTTCAATTAACATAGTTTTTTTTTCATTCTGAACATTTGATAATAGAGATCCAGAGTGGGTTGCAAAACATTCAACATGCACATTTCATACTATATTATCTGAAGGATGCATGTCAATGGGAGATGCATTAAGGGAAATTGACAGGCAGGTGGGTCAGTTTCAAATAAAATCAACTTATTCTAAAAACAGGCATCCAGGCTATATTCACAAAGAAAAATCATCACATAACATTGTTAAACATCCAGGAAATCATTTTGAATTATTGGTTGAATAAAACAAAGCCCCACGTTTGCAAAGCCACAGGTAGCGACAAGCCGACAACCATCTTTTTCTAAAACTGAAGCTAAACAATCAACCCTGGAGTATCTTTCATTCGGATTAAGGAGCATATAAATTTGGCATCTGCTTATATGACCAGGCTGTAGTTGGCACAAGAGTGTTTTAAGATCCTTCATAGGTAGCTCTCGCTTGTTTACTTAATTCTCACTTTAGGACAAGGAGAAACTACTAAACACTATACACCCGTTTATTGCTTGTCCGGCATTTTGTCCAATCATTTTGTCTTCCCTGCCTATCCAGTTCTTCACTATTTGCCATCTGCTTATTTGGGTAAATACTTGAGCAAACAAATAGAGAATGCAATGAAATACCATGGTCCTTCACATTTTCGCCTGTGACTTAATCAGTTTAGAAAACTTTCAAAGTTTCAATGATTGCAATGCAGTAATCAGTTCAATAAAAGGCTTATTATGCTGCCCAAGATGACGGAACCGGCGGAACCAACAATGTGTCATACATATTTTTAGGCTTTTATCAAGACGGATTTCATTCTTGTTAATGGCGATCTAGTTTCGAACATAAAATTGGATAAGGTTTTAAAAGAGCACAAGTGAGCCTGTTTTTTAATATTGAATTAGAAAACTCGAAAAAAGGTTTCGTATATCATTATTTAATGTATTTAGAGAAAGAAGGCAGAAAAGCAAATCATCCATAATGACAATGATTTATAAGCAGGCTGCTCCTGACCATAAAACAAGGTGAAGTTTTAAAGAATGTTTATCATTTCCGTGAGGTTTCATTGATACTTATCAACAAGTTCCATTAGCTGTTTCAGAGTGTTTAATATCGCTACATTCATGACTTAATTTTTTGAAACTGCTTAAATTTGAAACACGATTCGAATATATATTAAAAGATAGGCACATATTGAGTGTCGCAAATACGAACTATAGCTTGCAAATTGCCTCGGGGTGGTATACTGTACTTAGCGACACAAAAGTCGCTGATTCTACCTCTAATGATCCTACTTTTTCTTTCATCCCTTTGAAATAGTATTTGTTTTTTTATCAATCTGTAAAGATCTTTAGAAGATGATGTATTCCTTGCCATCGAGTCAACTTCGAACAGGATACTTCATTGGGAGAAGACTCGCAAGAAAAACAAGTTTTCACTCCCTTTGGTATGTTCCATAGTTTATCTATATTTAATTGACACGTTTTTGTCGTAATTTATGTATCGAAAATATGAAAAAAACCCGGGGAATTTTGCCTGAATTATCAAAGTCGCCCCATAGCGAGCTTTTTCACATAAGCAAAAAATACTCAGTTACGTCCTTTGAACTTCAAAGTTACATGTTTGATCTTCGAACGTAAAAAGCATATTTGATTTAGAGCGCCAATAACTTCTAGGGGACTTGCCCAGTGATAACGGAATAAACGTTGACACATATTATCGTATATACTGTTAAAATAAACTGTCTTACATTCTAATGGTACATGGAAACCAGTATCATAGTTCTTTATCATTATTTTTTCCCCAAAAACCTGAATCTTTACATTAAACCAAACGGGCACTTCTTCCTTGATATTTAAAGTTGGGGCAGTTGGCCGTCTTGCCTCTCCCGGTTCTTACGCCCCTGCGTTTCAGAGTTTCAGAGTATCATTTGTTATGATTTCGATTCTGTTGTATACAGTCTGGCTTGGCATTTTTTGTTGTTGCATATGATAAAATTCATTCACAAAAGCAAATCCTCGCGCGCATCATCCATTCTTATACCACCCCGAGAAAAGTGACACCAATCAATATTTTTCATTTATTGTTTATTGATTTCAAATATATACAGTAAGATGCATGCAGTAGATTAAATGATATTTACATATGTACAATGACATTACAATTGAGGATAACCTCATCTTCTTTTTTTATTTCCAATGTCCATGCAATGTTTTTATTCCTGTCCGTTTTCCGCTCAACTTATAGTAAAAAGAATTATATAAAGTGTGTAAAAGTATGAAAAGTTCAAAAACGACCCGGCTCGATTGGTCATCCCATGCCTGACTCTCTCGTTTAAGTTGTATCTTCAAAGCTAGATCGTAATTCGGATTGCTCGTCGTCGTTTTTGTCGCCTTCGTTTCCAGTTTCGTCGATATCGTTGCTGCTTGTTTCAGCCGCGACTTCAATCTCCGGTACGCGAGCTATCACCCCAATATGGACTACTTCACTGAGTTGAGCCACCAATGGCTGCGAGAATGACATGTCAGTCCATGGCATTTCCGCCTCGTCGTCGTCCTCTTCGCTCTGGTCGTCATTAGAACTCTCGTGCAACTGCTTTGATACTTCGCTTTCAGTTGTCTCGTCTTGGCTTTGGACTTCGTTGACGTCAACATTGATCTCACCATTGACGTCATCTTCTTTGGTGACGTCAGAATTAGCTTCATCAACTGTCGCTTCCATGGCAACGCCGCTCGCTTCTTCCTCAGATTTTTCGATGGCATCTACAGGAAGGGCTTTAGCAGGTGTATCAGCTTCATGTATTTTCACGTCCTCGCTTGCTTCTTGAGCGCCGGGGACGTCTGCCTTGACTTCTTGTTCAAGTTGAATCTCTGCAGGCTCCTTGTTCTGCAAAACCACCTCGTCTTGTGCATTCGAAGGTCCAGCTTCGCCTTCGTTTCTATCTGCAACACTAACCGGCAACTGTGCGTCGTTGGCTTCATCATCAGTTGGCAAGGTTATTGCTTTTGCTGCCTCGACATTTAATTGCTCGTCGCTGGTCTTGTTCCCGATTAACTCCTGGCCATCCATCTTGATTGGGGTTGGCTCCTCGCCATCTTTGATCGGCTCCTGGCCATCTTTGATTGGCTCCTGGCCATCTTTGATTGGCTCCTGGCCATCGATCTCAATCGGGATTGGCTGCTCGCAACCGGTGTTGCTTTTCGTTAGCTCGTCTTTGTTGCCAGCGTCTGCCGTGAGTTTTTCAGCCGACAGTTTTTGAAGTTCGACATTTTCATTTTGGTCACAAGTGGTCGTCGCCTCCGGTTCAACGGAAAGTTTTTCTTTCGTGTCTGACTCGCCACTTGTTCCAGCTGCTGCCCGCCTTTTAGTTTTCGAGACTTTTTTCTTCCCTGAAAATGAGCCAAAAAATCAGTGTGATTAATACTTGACAGCTCATTTCATGAAGCTTTTCAACTGTGTTCTCTCAAATATTTATTGCTTTTACCTTTTTCCCGATTTGAATCTTCCGCAACATCTTGAATGACCGCCTCGTCAACTTCATCATTCTTTCGAAAACAACGAAGACACGCGCCCATTTTTTATTTTCTTAAATTTTTCCAACAATAATTAGCTTACCCAAAATTTCGAAGAGAACCGTATTTCGCAAACGCAATAATACAATGACTTAATTAACTGATGACGTTCGCTTTTAATCAAAAGCAAACTCAATTAGCGTTCTAATTGAGTACACGTCATTTCCGGTTATGAAAACAATATGCCCACTGATATGAAGATGAAACTGGATAGCGCTTAGGAAAATTGTTCTCTAGCTGAGCAAAATGAGAAGTGCTATCATTGTTAAAGCTATTAAACACAGTCGAAGTTTCTGCATGTCTATAAAAATAGCAGGAATTTTGCATTCTCATTTTCAATTTTTCATCTGATAGAAACTCTCAGTTTTAAAACATTCGCCATGCGAAAATATTTGGAGACAAGCTTCTACATATGCCTTTATATCCGCAAAAACGCAGTGTTTACAAAAACAATTTAGTTTAAAACCTGCCCTCGGCTTTGCTTGGTTTGTATAGTTTAATTGAACTAGTCGGTTTTTTTTGGAAAGTTTACAAATCCTAGCTTAGAAAATTTTAGATGCTATGTTTAATTCTTTAGAATCAGAAGTGTAGCCAATATATTTTGTACATCTGTGACCGTGTTTGAATAACCAAAAATGACCATGCAAACAAGCATGTGTGTTATGTTATTTATGTACAAGATGGACCACTTGCATAATATACCAACTTGTGATGTGAATTTTGACACAGAGAGTTTCATCCAACCATTGCAACTAACGTTATTCGGGATTTATTTCTTTTTCCCTATTCCAGAAATTATCATACAGTTCATACAGTCATAAAACAGAGCTTCTGTATAGCCGACGAAATGTGTCTCTTTTCATATTATTTCAGGAATTGTTCATAGAAAATAAGGATGTTAAGCTCAGATACGACCTGCTAGATTGTGGCATTAGTATCTGCTCGACAGAGGTAACAGTGGAAAAAAAGTTTGAAATTATGCAAAAACTGATAATTAAACATACTAGAACTAATTTCTTTTTCAGGTACCTCAATTATTTACGGATAATTTTGATTACCAAACCAAAGATGACTTCGTTCGTGGAATAATCATCAATGAAGAGGTCTGGTCTTATTATTAACTTATCGTTTAAAATGATTGTACATACCCCGACCAAATGTTTCTGTGTTGATTCTAGTGAGATTAAGCTCACCAGTTTTTGCAATAACTGAAAAGCGTATTAGATCCTATTTAGTATTCTTATTTGACAACTTTCATTTAAATAAATCCAGCTCATTTTTCTTTCACAAAATGGCGTCGCTCTAAGGGAGTTCCCAATGCCTCTGACAAGTGGAATTTTTTACCAAATCGATCGTATAGGTGATGGGAAATAAGATTCACTCTTACGTTGTGGACGTTGAATATGGTGCAAGAGTAACGAATATCCAGATGTATGATTCAATAAGGTACAGTGGAAAAATTTATAATGATAACTCTTAGGTTAATCAACTGCATGGCCAGGACCGCTTCTGTTTTTTTAAACTATCCGCAAAACTCCTTCAAAATATTAATGGGGTTAAAGTCATGGTTTAGACTACCCCAAAAGACATCGCAATATATCAAACGAAGCATGTAAACACAGTTAATGGCGGTGATTTGTTTTTGTCAAAATTGATTGTGCATGTAACAGAATATGTTCAATGGTAATGTTAGGAATCTGACATTACTATCAATATCTCGACGCTTTTCTTAAACTCATTCCTATGACCATGCACAAGTATCAGAGCCTCGATCTATATTGATAAAATTGTACATGGATTTTCTTGTTGGGACAGAAAGGTTGCATAGGGCATAAAAATCAGTAGCTAAATTGTACTCGTATATACATGTACCAGGCGCAATATAACCTTTAGTTCAGCTAAAGGTTTGATTCATGCGGACAACCTTTAGTTCAGACATGCATGCAATAAACCTTGGACTAACAAGTTATTTGCACCCAATGCATGCCTCGTATGGTTTGATGATTCTATACGGTGCTTTCTTAATTTTTTAGCAAGGACATAATCCGTCGATGGGCTTATCCAGTTGTTCCAGACAACAGTATTTTACATTCAAATAATACATACATGTATAATAGACATAATGTGTATTTTGGAACTGGCGTGATCTTTGCAAGGTAGGCGAACAAAAGATACTTACAAGGAATATAACGGCGTGGAAAGGTGGTGGTTATTTCTGTAGTCTGGACTAAGGTTATATCGAAGTTAAACAAAGCGTCTATCTTTTTGAAACAAGCACATGCTATTGTTAGGATGATTACACAACTTCCAGGATCATGTTATTTTCTCATTTCAAAACCTCAAAGTATCTTTTACGCTTCGTTAAATCTCGGTAACCGGGGTCATGTTAACAGTTTAGTAAAGAAATTACCATCCATTGTCCGTAAGCAACGAAGAAGATAGGAAACAATTTGCAACTAATAACAAAGGTAATAATAATATTCTTGAATTTATCGTCTCCGCCAGGGATTGTATATTAGAGCAAGACGTCGTAGTTGGGTCTGGATCTAGTGTTGGAACAGGAAGCGTTATACGAAATTCAGTCATTGGAAAACAGTGTGTAATAGGTAAGGAATATCTGTAACAATAAGACATAAGTCATAAGGGGGGTACAATCTACAATATAATCTGCTTTGCAGAATATTCAATCCGATGTATTTCATGTGTATACTTAACTCAATTTTGGTTTGCCCTTTTCTTTGAAATAAATGTATGTGAACTAGAGTTAGTATTTCAAACAAACTTGAAGCAAACTTATCAACGTTCTTGCATTGTTACACGCAGAACCGATGTGCAAAAGCGACTTTCCCTTATCCCTATAACTTGATATATCAAATTGTACTTCCACGCACTGGTCGAATTATACCGCGGTGAGAGGTGATTCGCCATTTTGTTTCAAACCTCTTGTGAGTAAACTGCTTCCACGATGTGTCGATTTTAGTCCCCGGATGTACTTCGAACGTGCCGAAACGTATGCAATATCCATGTGTGGGTTTATGCACCTACCTGCTATAATAAAATGCCTATTTTTTAGGTGATAATGTTGTAATAGAAGATTCGTACATATGGGATGGTGTGAAGATTGAAAACAACTGCCGCATATCAAAATCTATACTCTGCGATAATGTTGTAGTTAAACAGTATGTTTTGACTTTAAATTGATGTCCGATATATGCCGAAGGTTCAAGAGAAAAAAAAAGCCACCCAAGAGCGTTCCTAGAGTAATTCTTTTCTTTTCAACTTAGAAACGTCACAACACAAAAAGGATGCGTCCTATCATTTAATGTAAGATTGAACAACATTTATCAACAACGCTTATCTGTCCGTTAATAAAACTTTTCATTCCCTATTTTATGTTCATAAGGTTGTTGTTGGTCCAGACATAAACTTAAGTTCAGGAATAAAAATAACTTTGAAAATTGATGAAAACAAGGATGATTTTGGCATGGAGAAACTATCCTTAGAGGAAAAACCTAACGCAGGTGCGTCGTATGACGTATGATGTATTCTTGAGTATAAGTAATTTGTTTTAACGGTCGTACAAAGGCCATTAACTGCAACCTGGTAAAAAATGCATGTGAGATCATGCATCACGTCTACCAAAGGTTAATAACGAGGTTCAGGTTTGACTTCCACTGTCGCTGCCATTGCGGTAATGTGAACCAATCAAATGCAGATACATCTATCAGATTAACCAATCGCAGCAGCGAAAGGAATCGGTGCTCAGTAGTTGTTGTGGAAGTAAAATCTGAACGCGCTCAACATGAAAACAGGGCCTAACATACTTGTTTGGTTTCGTAGAGTCGTACAATCCCGAGGATGTGGGCAGCGATGGTCGTGGATATGTTTGGAAAAAAGAGATTGATTCTGACGGCGAAGACGAACAGGAGTTAATTGACCTTTGGGGTAAGAGTTAGCAATAGTAGTTGAGAATCCAGTTTTTGCATGCATGGAAAATTCATGCATGTCCGGAATCATGTATGTCAATTATTTGTACTAGTTAGCAGAGAACCCCCGAATAACTATGGAGGTCAATATTTAAAGAGGAGTAACTACTGCATATATATCTTCTTTCTCGTGGTGAACCTGGGATGTCTCGTAAATAGCTTTCACTCCCTCCACCATTTCATTTAATCGTTTTGTTTCATGAAACATTTTCGTGCATGAGCACGAACACTATTCGCCTTCGCTTCTTTCTTCATAATCTCCAAGGTTCTTTATCTTAGACGTTTGTGTTGAGAATTAAACGTTGCGTTTCTATTTAGGTCGAAGTAGTGAAAATATAAGTAACGAGAGCGAAAGCAGTGATGATTCGTTCTCTGCAGAAAGTCCGACGGCCAGTCCTCCACCCGAGGATTCAAAATGTAAGAGTTTTAACTAATGTTCGTTTTGGACGCATGTACTCAAACACCGAAAAACGTGCAGGTCTTTAAACTATATTATATATTGGCCTCGTCTCAGTTGTAAATTTGCAAATCAAGGGGATGAAAACGATTTCGCACGAGTTCGATTTTAAAGTTTTTACCGGTTTTCATGAGATTCCCTACTGCCGAGATTTATATCTTTCCCGCCATCTCGGTATTCCCGCGCATTAACTTTGCATGAAAACCGCGGTGTTCATTTGAAGATGGTCGCTACAGTTTTAGGATTATAGAGGTTACTGTGGAAGATTTTCGTTTTTTAGTATTTTATAATGAGGTTTTGGATACGGTTCGTAATGGCATTGCCAATAAGGTGAATCCTGATAATTTGGTGCTGGAAATCAACGCCTCAAAGTAAGTACCATGTGCATGTACCACTAACAGTTGAGTGCTGAGGCCCTATCCTCTTATCACTTTTTTTGCGCTGAACTCTCCTAGTTAGGGGGCTTTCACTAGACTGAATTTTGCGCGCAGAGCGGTTTAATTTCCTTTGTTATAAGCGAGTTCTTCAGCAAAACTTTAAAAAATATAGAAAAATAAAATGATACATGTTAATAATAATGTTAAATAAATACTCCAACTAAATCCAATCCAACATTACTTAACACTATACCTATCAATATTGACGTGGAGCTAAGAATTGTTAGCGTGAACAATGTTGGATGATTGTGAAGAGTTAATGTTGAATGAGCGCTTTAACCAAATCCTATGCAACTGTACCTATATTATCGTGTTTACGCGAAGCCAAAAATGATAATTCAACAATGTTATCATCGTGCATCATAAGTGTTGGATGAAATCAAGGCAGATCTAACATAATTTCAACGCAACCCATGCATGCGTCATGGCATTAGATGAAAATTTAAAAAAGCCAAGGCTGATTCCACAACGTCATCAAGTTGAAATGTATATCCAGCAATATTGCATTTTTGATTAGGCTGGTCGAACATGTTGTTGTTTGAAATGTCCTTGATTTTTTCTCTTCCCCAGATATGCGTACAACGTGACATTCCACGAACTAAATCACGCAGTAACGAAGACCTTTTTGGAGTGCTTGCTCTCTGACTACACGACGTATCAACAAGACGTCCTCAAGGATATAAAAAAAGTAAATGAGCCTCTGCATCAATAATCACAGGGGTTTTTGGCATCAGAGAATGGCACATTTATATATGGGATACAAGCGCCGTTTCTACCACGCGATAATTTTATAATTCTTCCCGATCAAATTCCAGGCTGTGGTCCATTTTCATCCGGTGTTTTCACATTATATGAAAGAAAGTGAAAATCAGAGAATTGGAATTCAAGCGGCAGAGGTGTGTCTAGATTACTAACCATTCAGTTCTGGATGGTTCGAGCTACAATTTTAGCAAGGAGCATTGTCTTAAAACCCAGTGTCGCCGCAGCAAGCGGGAGATTTTTATTCTCGTATATGAAAAACTTCCTGCAGCTTGGCGAGACCCTTGCTAGGGAATCGCAGAATCGTGTAGTGTAGATAATTGCCGAAGTACCTCAGTTGCATTTTTTGCAACCTTACCAATTTGATTTTAAATTGTCAACTAGTCCTTCAGACAAAGAATTCACTGTTAGGCCTTCACGTCACTGTCATCTCTATTTCCCCCAATGACATACACTTAAGGAAAAATTATAATCTATTAATTTGGTCTTGATATATAATCGTATATAAACACCATTTTGCACAACTTTTTCTGCGAGATTTTCTCTTTGCTTCAATGTTTCCTCCTGTGGTATCTCTTGCAGGAATTTTTCATTCAAAACGAAGAAATGTCGCCTGCGTTTCAGAGCTTCTTACATTTAATGTACGATCGAGAAGTGTTCGACGAGAATGTCATACTTGATTGGTTCAAGTCTCCTGTCGATGACTCTATTGGGAATGAAAACCCGAAAAAAATTCGAGACCAGGCACGTGTGTTTAATTGTTGTTAAGAATTTTACGGAGAATTAAGATTGTCATCCAGGGTGGGTTATTAAGGAATTTGTGCGTTGGGATTCTGGAATGCGTTCTCAAAACCTTGCTCGGTAGTCCAGTGATACTTGGGAGCAAACTGGCAATTGACCAGGCAATCTTTACATCTGGCAAATTGTAATCAGAAAAACACCTCTGAGGAAGCTAGCTATAGCTACATTTGAACTATATTCTTTAGAGATAATAAGGCTCTTCCTATCTATCCTATCGGCCGTTGGATTTATTGGCGAGTATATAATCTCTTAGGTTTTAAGAATTCGAAAACGTAAAAAGACCGCGGCATTGTCGATCTTATTTTTTGCGAATTTGAATCAGTTGAGAAACCAGAAATATAAAAATATTTGTCATGTCCAGTGAACTCTTTTAAGACAGAGATAAACACTGGCTGCCATCTTTGAAGCTAATTTGATGCCGAATTGCACACTGTTCCTAGTCCCTTTCTATTGGTTTTGTCGAATCGTAGACCGTGAAGTTTTGTCGTACACACGCCGTGTACTTTTTATAAAACATTCTGTGCATGTGAAAAGATTGTGAAATATCGAGTATGTATTATAGTTTTTGCCTTGACAGACTGCCATTGTTTTCTTCCACCGCCATTGAATTCCTGGCGTGCTATTCGTTCCTAAGTACTCTGTGATTTTTTTGTTTTGACATATTCTTCAGGTGTCCAGGTTCATAAAGTGGCTAGAAGAGGCTGAGGAGGAGTCGGACGATTAAGAGTTAACAATAAATTCAGAGGGTGTCGAAAAAATCACCCACGGGCATTTCGCGCATTTATGGCCTTCCTTCTTCCACAGAGATCAAATCCCCTTTTACTCAAGGAAATTTTTGTTCAATTGTAGCATCCCAGTTTTGATCTACCTGCATCATCCTGACGTTTTAACAATGATTGAATTGAGAGGTGGGAATATACCCCGGTCTACGGGTATATGCAGGTAGAAAATTTGAATGAAATATTTCGTTTAGAGGGCATTCGTCAAGACCTGATCTTCGTCAGTAACTGTCCTCGAAGGCCTTCGTCTTTCTTAGGTAGTTAAAAATACTACATTTGATTTTTCGGGTGCCGCTACGCTACTTCCTGATTAACCTCTCCACTGAGGCCACGTATATAGACGCACGTTAGGGGGAGGCGGAGAACATGCTCCACGTTCTTAGGGTGAAACTCTACTTCGCTTATAGCATGCATGGGCAGCGTCCATGGAAGAAATTTGCAGAAGACATCTAGGAAAGAAAATTTGCAACGAGCTTTGAAGATAATTTGAAACTTGTAATAAGAATAATTTGAATTTTTTGTTATTTGGCAATTCTGGGTATTTAGCTTCTGCAGAGACGATTTTCTGACCGTTAACGCGCGCTCAGTGCTGTACCGCGAAATACTTCCAAGAGCCTGGGAACGAGGCTGATGTTAGCTCTGATTGAATGCGTTTTGAGAAATAAAGTGAAAAGCATAATTATTACCAAAAAAAAAAGGAATGCGTTTCGTTCTCAAGGGAAAGGGGCGAATTGAAACTCGTTAAAAAAATGCTACGTCAGAATAGAAAAAACAGAAAATAGCCGAAGCAATATGATTTTTAACGGCACCATTTAACAAGATAAGATAACCTACATCATACAAACTGTATACTATTTGTTATAAAAAGGGAGATTAGTGTTACCGAGAAGTATTAAAAAATAAAAATGTGCGACAACAACTGACCTATATCTTTAGCAGTCGCGATAACTCTTCTTGACATGAGGTGCATGTGTTTAAAATTAAATTAGCATGCACACTTGCATGCATTTAATACAGTCGATGGGTTTTGACAAATTAACTCAAAAGAACAGTCTCAAGCTGGACAGTCTCAATTTATCAGACGAATTATACTTCACTTCGTACGACGCTTTATTGCCTTTAAGCCCGCCGCACATGCACGTGAGCTATTATAGAGAGCTCAGCTGAGCTAAAGACCACGCGTGTCGCGAAGTCGTTAGCTCAGCTGATAGCTCTCGTGTGCGGCGGGCTTTAAGTTTTGTTCCGGCGTTAAATTAAATTTGAAGAAGGAACGGCGGCCTTTAAATTTAGGCCAAAGGTAGACCAGTCTTTCAATGCTAAGCATGGGAACACTGGATATTGCTCTGCGCTTCCCTAAAGCCGGCTTAATTCAAGCATGATGTTTGCACGAGACCAATAATTAAAGAGAATTTCTTTCCGAGGTAACTTGAAATGGTCGGAAACATTCCCTCATATATATTAGTGCTCTGTTTACATACTTGACTGTTACATATCCTGTCCTGTCAGAATATTTAATATAATTTTGATTCGCTAACCTGGCTATATTTTAAAATGAATAGTAAAATTTGATAAAATTATGTTTAGGAAGATTTAATGGTTTATTTCAGTTCTATGACGGCGTTTCCGTTTAAAAATTTACCCGTGTGTCCTTGGGACGTACAAGCAAGTCTAAGGCCTGTTTTCCACTTGAGCTAAGGATAGGCCTACGCCTACGGTGAATCATTAATGTATATAACAAAATGCACACGCGTAAAAGTTGAAATCCGAAGCGTAACATCAATAGGTAAAATATAGCGGGTGTGACGCACAACGATTTATGAATTACCACAAATTTTCACATGAAAATGCTTATAAAGTCAATAAAGAAAACGAAAAATTCGCGTTCAATACGATATTTTTCATATTGACCGTGTGTTTACAAGCGTAGAAGGACTTGGTTCTAACCGGAAAACTCACCCCAAATTTTCTTGTTCCGCATGGGTTCCGCGTAACTCCTAAGATGAAATCCACACTTCCCATGAATCTTCATTGGCTTTGGACAGTCTTAGCAAGTCTTTTTGATTTTAAAATAATTTTCAATTTTTTGTTGCATATTTCAGTAGGCAATACTAAAAGGCTTAATTTCGTTCAGTATTATGCTTTTATGGAATGGCTTTTGGCTTTCGTATAAAAGTGCCAGACGTTGTTGTTGGTGAGTATTTGGTATGTTGCGAGTATTAGCAGGGAAGACAATGATTGCGTGCCATATTTTGAACACGTATAAAAGTTTGAGTGAGTACCAGATCTAGACTTTCCTTCAGTTGCTAATAAATCAGGTTTCAAATGCATGTTATGTATAATGCGGTAAACAAGCCTGAAATTCCAAACGCGCTAAGAACAGACGCGACGTAGACGTAGTCTCCTGCTGTCTCCTGTTTTACATTGTCTCCCTTTGTGCGACTAAATTGAACGAAATATCAGAAGCATACCCTGTTGCAAGTCGAACGTGTTCTGTCGTAACATATTTGGACATTTATACATGAAATTGTACCATCGCATTGCATGATCAACGCAAAAATATATTGTCAATACATGCATACAAATAGTGGGATTGTCAAGCAATGCCAATGGCTCAATGACCCTAGCTGGATTGTAAATTCAATGAATGTATTTAAACAGGGAGACGTGTGTCAACGTGATGTAAATAAAACATGCAGTATAACGTTCACTGCAATGACTGCATGACACCGTCCTAAAATGTTCTTAGAATTGTTCTTTTCTCATATTGCATACCAAAATATTCTACATGCTTATCAACTGAGATATTGTGTTTCAAACAAACAACGTACTTATGATTGACATAAATTTTTATACTTATAAGTATACATTGATACATCAAATTAGCAAATGCCTGCATGTATTAATTTTTGAACAGTAGATATTTTCCTTTAGCCTTTACTGGCTTTAGGATACCCAACGCTCCGAGTTATATTTTTTATGTCCAAAATATATCAATATTATAATATAAATTATATTCAGAGAAATTAGATTATGAGTTATAGTTCATCATTACTTAAAGTGGTCGTACACATGCAGTAAACTTTGCTAGGTACTTTCCGGACCATCTTAAAAAGCTACTTAATCGAAGCTCGATAGTTTTACAAAATGAATAGCAAAATATTTGTTAAAACACATATAACTCAACGAAAGGTTGCATGTATTGATTAGAGTTCCACACTAAGCGAAAGAGTGATTCATTGCCATGCATATTGTTTCATTGTTCTATAAAACATATGTTATTGAGATATTGTAAAGATTCAAAAATAGTAAACATGCACTTCTCAGCATTAAAATGAACACCAAATGTACAAATGCAAAACATGATAATTGACACGCATTTAAGCATGCACTCAAGCATTATACTTTCTTTGCGAATTTTTGCCGTATCCAATGGAAATTTTATCTTAATTCTGGCCGTATATAACTAAATCTGAATTGGGGACAATTACCAGGGGCCGGTTGTATCAAGCCCGTTTAGCTTAAACGCCGGTGGATGAGTTAAAATTAAATAACAATCTTACAACTCTCTTGACTGAGTCAACTTGAATATTATGCACTGATTATGTAGTTGTAAACAGTAGTTTTGTATTAAGGTCAAAAACATTTTGTTCGCTGACTTTTTTAACGTTAGCATGCATGTAAATACGGGTTTTCACTTCAGAAAGTGGGCTCTCATCACTATGATTCCCGGCTCCTATTTTAGTGCCACGCCGCCCCGGAAAAGTTTTTTTAAATGCTCCTTAAAAATGCATCTGCATAGTATTTATGACAACTTAAACTGTACGATTTGAACCGTTATTTTTTCCCTCGTTCTTCAGTATATTTGTATAGTTACACAAACAGGACTAAGTATTCGTAATTTAAAACACTTCAACTATTAAAAACTTTAATTTGTAAACTGCTTTTCTTACATTTGTTTACAATTTATTTTTCCTTTCCAGTATTGTATTTTATCGAAAATGAATCCATCCAAGGACCACAACAACTGGTTAACCGTTGGAGAAATAATAAATTTGATTAAGGAACCCATCGCTTTGTACACCAGTCATATCTTAAAAAAATGGCATGCGACGCTGCCTTGTCTTTCGCTGCCGCCATGCACAAATCCTGCTGTTTGTCTGACAAAAAAAAATCATCGCGATCTTTGCCTCTCTTGCAAGGGTTGGTACGACGAGCTTGCCAAGTCCCATCGAAATAAAGACAAACGGCAAATCAAATGGCGTGAAAACTGCGACACATCAAAGTGGCAGAATGATCCATGGGAGGTCGCCAAGTTCTTTATGTCTGCTCTTGGAGACAACAAAATAACCGTTAAACACGCCGAATCCACTGATTTATCGTCTCTTCTGAACGTCCTTGCATGGTTGAAAGATGCCGTCTTTGCCCCAGATAGACGTGTGGATCTTAACCTCGTTAAACAACTCCGTTCACAGGTTAGAAACCCTTGGGCTCATGCACCTGATCAAAAATTACCCGTAGAAGTTCTTAACGATGCTTTTGATATCGCCAATAAGTTTGTAGCTGATCTGAACATAGTTTCCAGCTGCGACGAGGTAAAGAAGTGTGCAACATATATCAAAGTTCTTCAAACTAATGGAATAAGCAATGTTACGGAAACCGAGTTAAAAATTCTGAATTTACTCCGTATTGAGTTAGGTGGAGATGTCAGCCAAATGAAAGAAGAATTAAAACGTTTAAAAGATGATCAAAGTTCCGACAGACAGGTTATCAAGAAACAAGAAGAAATGTTGGAAAATTTGGAGGAAGACCTTAAGTCATTACAAAATATCGTCAATGTTCAAGGAAATGATCAACAATTTCGACTACAGAGCTGCATTCCTGGAAAAAACCTAAATTTGACTGGTCGTGACACTGAAATAAAGCAAATAATATCTTCTATCGTAGAGAATGGTGTTGGAATTGTCTCAATTGTTGGTGGACCTGGTTTTGGCAAGAGTACCATAGCAGTTGAAGTTTCTCATCACTTAAGCAATGACCATGACATCGTCGTCATTTTCTCGTTCCTGTCACATGCTTTAACTCTTTCTGAAGTAAGACTACGTTTGTGTCATGACGTTGGTGTTAACCCTGGAGAGGATCCAGAATCATCTTTGATGTTCTGGTTGAGAAGTATTCAGAAGAAAGTTGTTATTGTCATGGACAATATCGAACAGCTGCTTGAAAGCGATGGAAAATCTCAGTTTGTTGAATTAGTGCTTACGCTCCGTAAAAATTCACAGCAACATCTGCAGATCCTAACAACGACAAGAACGGAATTCATCATTTCCGGCCAAACGACAGTAAACCATAAAATATTGGAGTTGGATGAAATATCTAGTGTTGAACTTTTGAGAAAGTGTTGCCCTGATGCAGAAGTTGAAAATGCTTACTTGTCTGAATTGGCTGAGCTGTGCGGTTTCGTTCCACTCGCCTTGTGTATCGCAGGAACAATAATTCCTGATCTTGATGATCCTTCAGAGTTGATACAGTGGTTAAGAGAGAAGCCTATGGAAGCATTGAGGAACTCCGACCAGTGTGTTGAACAAGCCATCGAGTTCTCTTTTCAGAAATTGATCGATGAAGACAAAAAAGCGTTGGTTTGTCTTTCTGTATTCGTAGGGGACTTTCAACGAAGCTCTGCACAAGAGGTGATTGAAAGAAGTGGGTTGGGAACCCAAAATTTCTTAAAAAGTCTGGTGAAGCGAAGTTTGGTACGATGTAGTAGTGATAGGCGATTCGTAATTCATTCGCTTATTCGACGTTTCCTGGCTGATCATGATCAATTTCAAGGTGAAAAGGCAATGGCGCAAGGGTCGATGGTCAGGCATTTTCTGAAAATGTGTCATTCATTAACTATGGATTGTTATTCATACAACGGATTTATTGGCGCCAGGGAGTCACTGAAAAAGGACATCCACAATGTCGAGGAAACGTTAAAAATCTGCAGCCAAGATCAGGCAATCAACCAGAAGACAAGCATTCTGGAGTTCGTGACAAGTAGTGATATTTACAAGTCATCATCCAGGTTCTTTTACAATTTCAGTTTGGGTCTTCTTCCGGAGAAGGTTTTAAGGAATTTCCTCGAATCTTGTATCGAACTGGCAGAAAGTCGAAAGCAACCAGTTATTGCAATAACGTTTAAATGTCTGGTAGCTGAACAAGAGGGTCGCAAATCAGCATGGAAATCTCCCAAATACGCCGACCGAATGGAGAGGATCAAGTTCGCTTTCCAGGAAAATAAATCAGTACTGAAAGACGAGCGGTCCTTGCATATGTTTTGTTACCACGTGTTGGCCCGATATTACTTTAAAGTAGCAAAGAGCCTACCCAGCGATCTGGCGGAAGATGATCTCCCCCCTTCACCTGAAAACAAGACACTAAAGCCGTGTTTACACGAAGGGGCTGACATTTACCTGACATTTGCCCGTACCTGAGAAGTACCTAACCAAGTTTTACAGGGTGTGTTTACACCAGTTACCTAACGGGACTTATATAAATCACGCAACATAAAGTACTGTGAGAAGAGTATTAAAATATAAGTTTGCAGTTCTTTGTTTGTTTATTTCGTACAAACTACAAAGACTCGTAAAAGAATACGACGTATAACTGGGATTACTGGCAAACAACGATTTCATGCAAAATTAAAAAATATATGATATATATTCGGCAACGGTTCCGAAATTCGCCATGTGGCTAATTATCAACTCTGAATTTCCCCATAATTTTTGCAAAATCGCGCTAAAATTCTAAGACCGCTAAATGCTGACATCAAAGACTCGAATTTACGTTTGTTGTCAAGGAAATTAGCTTCGATTACACTTGGGTCAATGAAAATGTGTTTACACCACCAGAGTGACCTGAGACTTACCTAGGACTTACCTAATATCATGTTTTCAGGCCACCTCTAATGCTTGGCCTGAAATCATGGTCTTAGGTCGGTCCTAGGTCGGTCTTAGGTCAGTCCTAGTGCGTTTACACTACAGGACTAACTGCTTAAGTTAGGTCTTAGGTCAGGTATAGGTCTCTAGTGTAAACACTGCTTTAGTCCCATCGAGAAAGCAGCCGAGGCACGAATTCTGATGAAGCGTGGAAATTTGAGCAAAGTACGTGCAAATTTATCATTCCACGAAGACAAAGAAAAGTACATTGAATACATGAACCATGCTGAATTTTTCTACAACGAAGCCTTGTCGTTGGCCAATAACATGTTGGGTGATCACGATTTAACATGTGTTATCCATAAACTTTTAGGAGACTTATTTCTTAATCAGCGTAAGAACGAAGAGGCAATGACATATTATTCTAAAGCCATAGACATGCGCAAGAAACTAAAGCTTGATTATCACGAGCCGTTTGTGTTCTTGCTCAAGAATTATGGGGCTTGCCTCTCTTTTCTCTCTCGTTTTGACGAATCGGTGGAAAAGTTAAAGGAAGCACGGGGCATAGTTGATAAACTCACTGAGAAGAACACTCGTTGTAAAGCCTTGGTTTATTATGAGTTAGCAAGAGCATGTCGTGAGTGGAAAGCTGATTGTCAAGAAGCCGAGACATATGCTAAAGCAGCATTGGAAATGCAAGAATTGTTGGATCCCCGCGACGTAGTAACATTGAAAGAGATCATTAAGGTGGCAGAAGAAAACGTGGCACAATATTAGGACGGTCGACAAGCTCCGAACTATACTTATACCTTTTTATGGAGTTTATCACTATATAGGTGGTCTTGTACAAAAAAATCTGGGTTTAAGCAGTTTTCAAGTATTTGAGAAAAACACTTCTGAAACACTTCTTACTGATTTGAGCTTGATAGTTTTTTTTTTTAAAATACAGCGGCCAGGCCCCTTTTTAATATTAAAACTTCTAATATAAAAAGCGCAAGAAAAAGCATTCCTTTCATGCAATATTGAAGATATGTATGTACATTTGATTTGAAGAAGTGGGTAAATTGAAGCTAGTTGCAATTTTACTAACGCAATGGAGTGTTTTAAGCCAAGCCCGACTCACGATTTGCGATACAAAAATAACATAAATTAAGTGCAGCCGAAGAAGAACCATGATAGTGAGATTTCCTGATATTTGTTTAAAAAATTATAGCAATTATTTCAAGTTTGACCAATTAGAAATTCCATGTTGGGAAACACTTTTTAGTATAGGGCGCAAATGAAAGTAAAATGTTTTGTATGATGTAGTAATCAGAAGATTTGAATCAGATCTGCAGGATCTGTAAAATTTTCAAAACGATTGTTTTCCTCAGCAAACAAACACGTAATTTGATCCTCTATATACAATTGCTAGCCCTAAAATCGCAATCCCGCGTGTAAATTGTTTCATAACGCCATGTTTCAATATAAATATATATATATATATATATATATATATAAATATATATATATATATATATATATATATATTTATATATATACAACATGTGTAAACAATGTGCCCTCCCGGTTATCACCAGAGCGCAATGGTGACTCTTGCACTTGGGACACAGGATATATTATAAGTTAATCACAAAAACATAACGTTTCGACTTTATTATCTTTCTCAAGTGAACTAAATTTTACAGGCTTCTACTTTTATACACCGACCTAGATTAAAATTAGCATACATAGTTATCCATTTCAATATTCAACCCAGAGGGGTACATTGTCTTAAGTCTGTCGATCCAATACTTTTCCCTAATTGTAGGTTCTGCCGGATTAGTTTTATCAATGATAACTATCTCACAATCATTAACTAAACCATTGTGCTCTTTTGTTAGAAAATGTGAATGAAAAAACGCTTGTGTGTGGTCCCGATTGCAAATCGCTTTCTTTTGACTTGCTTTATAATTATTCCATCTCAAACGAAATTTATCCGTTGTCTGACCAACATATTGTTTACTACATACTTTACATGTAAGGAGATAAATCACACACTTAAGCCTAGCGCACACTGGTGCACTTAGCACGCACACACGTCACTCGTGACGATTGTCACCTGCACATATTCCTCGTCTGCGGGGACCAAATTGAGATATTCTGTCATTCGTGTCGTAATATCCAATTATCAAACATGTTTGATATTTTCTATCACGCGTGACAAATGCGCCAAGTGTGCGCTGAACAAATGCGATTAAAACATGCAGCAAGGAATATGTAAATGTGAAATACAATAAATAACCTTAAAAGTATGGAGGAACAACGCAGTAAACTGGTTGCAGAAGCCATTTTAGAAGACAAACTGGTAGACATATATCCCGAATATCCGTGTATTTACAATGTACGCTCGCGAGATCTCAAAAACAGAGATCTACGAAAAAAAGCATTTCGTCCATCCGTCGTTTCGTCCATATTTTACGATTGGCTACCCTTAAGCGTCTCCGGCGCCGACGCATAACCAAAAGGAAAAGGAAAAGCAAAATTTCTTCGTCTTCAGACAAATAATCGTCACTTTCATACTCCATGATTTGTTTGTTTATTGTATATTTCACATTTACATATTCCTTGCTGCATGTTTTAATCGCATTTGTTCAGCGCACACTTGGCGCATTTGTCACGCGTGATAGAAAATATCAAACATGTTTGATAATTGGATATTACGACACGAATGACAGAATATCTCAATTTGGTCCCCGCAGACGAGGAATATGTGCAGGTGACAATCGTCACGAGTGACGTGTGTGCGTGCTACGTGCACCAGTGTGCGCTAGGCTTTAGAGTCACAGTTAAAGTGATGGTTCACTACATATTGTTTACCATTAGCTGTGCATCTAAAAGTGTCGGTCTCCTTTATGTTATAACATGTCAAGCATCTAGGTTTCTTACATTTCTTACATCCCTTTTCCCTTATTAATGGTGGTACTTTCGCTTTAACCAAATAGCTTCTTAAATTCCGACCAGTTCTAAATGCCGCAAAAGGTTCTGGGGTCAATACTTTACGAGCTTTTGCGTCTAGATACAATATGTGCAGATTTTTCTTAATCACCAGACCGAAGTGCTTTAGCAAAGGATGAAAAGTTATTGTTAAAGGCACTCCAGTCTTACATCTTTGTTCCTTAACTACCTTGCTTTGTTCTATACTATACTCCTTAATTCGCTTAGTTTCCTTCTCAATAAGCCATGTAGGATATGATTACGAAGATAAATTACGAAGCAAAAGTTCGTCACTGATTTTTGTATTTTGCCAATATTATGCTATGTTAATTAGTTCTCTAGGCTACTGTGACGTCATGTGCTAAGGGTCTGTACCCTATTAAAACTATCCACTGTGTTATTGCTGCACGTATACAAGTTTCTTGACTTTTTTCACATACCAGCTTCGCTCTAAGATTCACAGATTTGGATAAAGTTATTCGGTAAATTTAAAGCTTTTGCATTTTGAACCGTATTTTTATCATATTTACAATGTTTAGTATCAAAGTTTAATTTCTAATAATTAAGTTTTTTTATTATTTGTAATTAAAATTAAGTTAAGCTATTTTGTGACTTCGAGCATGTGAAATTTTGTGAATGCCGCTTAGTCTTTCGACTTCACTGCCTTTTTATTAGGAGCAGGCTCATCTTACAAATGTGTATTTTTGTCATGGAAATATTTAGCAATGGTGACAATTGGTTATCGATCCTTTCCCGCCCATCAACTTATGACTTTGGCTCGGTTGCACGACACTTTTTACTTACGTAGATACTTTTTAATTTAGAAGAATACATGTTGTAAACATGTGTACATGGAGTGTGTACATGGATGCGCTATTTTTCACTGAAAAGCCTGATTTACGAATTTCAAAGTAACTTCGAGGCTGACTCCTACCAGTGGTCAATACCAAAATTATGCGTCACGCAACGTATAAAGATTATTATTCTGGTAACTCATTCCCATCATGCACTATATTTTTCCAGAGACTGGGTACGAGTCAAAGCAGCATCATTAAACTACTAGAGCTCCTGGTAGTTCGTGAGTGGGAAGGCATTTCAAAACATATTTGTTTGGATGAATTCTTTTTAATCCATGAGCGAAATTTTATGAAATCAAGGATGCCGCACTAAATTGAAAATTCCGTTATGGAAACGCCTTATTTCGTGAAGGTATCATAGACCATATGGTTACATATTAATAAAGGTTCAGGACTCTGTATTTGGTGAGTATTTTATAGTGTAATAGCGTATACATATGGAGCCGTATAGATGATATTTTTAGTGTTGTACTGTTTCGTAAATTTATGCCGGCTCGCACAAAAATCATGCATGTTGGTGCAGCGACAATGCAGAGTTGTAAGAAGTAAGCTGGTTGTAAAATTCCTCGTTTTATGTTTTATATACTTATCCTTTAATTTGTCGCCTTTGACATGACGTATTTGTTTATTGCAAGCGCGTCGTCAAGTTAGCTGTGTCGTAAATCCTAAACCTACCTCGAACTAATCAAGTTGTTTAGTTGCATGCCAAATACAAAGTCAGTTTGAGCTTTTATATATGAGTCTGCTTGTCGCGTTGACAAAATTATTTCGCTCTAAACGATTGGATTAGTTTTCTTGCTTCCCTAAAGAGTTTGTTTTTAACATACATAAGTCAATTTGCTACATACCTAACCCTAATCTGTTTGTTTACATAAGGGTACTTCCCTACCTATAAGTACTATTTACATATACACTCACACAAAGTCATTTTGCTACATAACTAAAATCAGTAAATACAACTGAAGTCAGTTTGTTAAGATATAAGTAAACATGATGTAAAACTAGTTTGCTACGTAAGGCCAGCTCGCTTAGGAATGACGAGTCAGAAGAGTTTCTTCAAATTCATAGCCAAATAATAACAAAATAAATGGTTGAATGATTCCTAATAGAAACGCATTCCATAATAAAGTTTGTATAAATATCGCAAATATATTCTCTATAACATATGACGTACGTTGAACAGTATATTATCTTACTGATCGCTAAGAGTGCATAAGCTAGATTGTGAAATGAATACTTTCGAATATTAAAGATTATTTTATAAGATAGTTTCGTTCTCTGAAAATATTGAAGTGCCTGGCTGCAAATCTTAAAGTAAACACAATTTCCTGCTGTCCGACTGAGCGTGACGGGGGTCGAAACAATTAGTTATTTCCCAATCGAGCAGGGTAATTGGTCTAGTCGCGAACCGCAAAGCATCTATGGACAGTTTGGAGGGACAAATGATTTCAGACTTCTATTTCCTGTCCCTCCAAACAGTCCATAGTTGCTTTGCGGTTCGCGACTAGACCCAGTACCCTTCTCGATCACTGAGCTATTTTATTCTAATTATATTATATTGGAATTACTATATAGATAAATAGATTATTTAATGAGAAATCACTTGGCAGCAGGAGCTGAATTGCGTGAGTTTTACAGCATATAAGAACAAATAAGCGTATAAAGATTACAGTAAGTTAAAAATATTAAAATTACACTATGTTAAGAAAATTAAAATACAGAGATGAAATACACTATAACGAGTTATATTGATTGCTACTTGCTATGATAAAGGAATTTAAAAACCGTTCTGTCTTTACAAGTGGGACATCTAGTTTCCTGCGTCTGCGATGTCGCAAATCATGGTCATTAACATTCGGCGGGATTAAGTGGTAAAGTTTATTATTAGGATCAGATACAATGTTCTTAAAAAGACGGCTCGTGGGCTCCGAATGATGGTCATTAATTGGTTAACGTTTAAGAGTCGCCAGAGATAAAGCATCATCGTACGGGAGGCCAGGAAAGATACAAGCCAGAGCTCTTCTCTGAATACGCTCCAAGTCGTTCCGCTGGTATTTTGGTAAGGCGTGATGGAAAACTGGACATGCATAGTCTAAGGATGACCTAATGCACGCACAGTAATATTGAACAAGTTCGTTTGGTGCCACTCCAGAGCACCTAAGTTGTATTAAAAAATAGATTTTCCGCAACGCCTTTTTAACCAGCTTTGCAATGCAATATATAGCTCAGTGTTCTCGATTGGGAAATGGCCAGCCTAGTCCCAGGCCTTGTAAGCGTGCGCTGCTAAGGATTTTTAAAACCCGCGCAATGAGGCCTAGGAACTAGGCTGGCTGAATCTGGCTGGAAAATGGCTAATAGAGAGCTTTAGCGCGCTCAGCGATAACGAGCGCGTTGTTTGCTTACGCCTTCAGCCAAAACTCGCTGCGGCAAAAGCCTGGTTCAGCCTGGGTCACGTGAGTCTTTTGTTACGCTTCTCCCGTGTGGGATGACCATCATTTGTTACTAGTGCTAAAAATAGCAGAAATGGCATATTGACTTTGCCACCCCTCCCTTAGAGATACCTCAACCTCTCAGTTAAATAAACCAAAATTTTAATTTCAAGCCGACTGACTAATTTTCTTACTTAGCTGACAATCACATAATTTTTATTTTCAAGAATACTATTTTTAACAAGAATGAATACGTTCAAAGACCACCACAACTGGTTGACCGTTGGGGAATTGATCAGAATAATTAAGGAGCCCGTCGCTTTGTACACCAGTCATATCATAGAAGAATGGCATGCCAAGCTTCCTTGTCTTTCGCTGCCGCAATGCACAAATCCTGCCGTTTGCCTGACAAAAAAGAATCATCGTGATCTTTGCCACTCCTGCAAGGGATGGTACGACGAGCTTGCCAAATCCCATCGAAATCTAAACAAACGACAAATAAAATGGCGTGGAAATTGCGACACATCAAAGTGGCCGAATGATTCTTGGGAGGTTGCCAAGTTCTTTATGTCTGCTCTTGGGGACAACAAAATAAGCGTTGAAGACGCCGAATCCACTGATTTATCTTCTCTTCTGAATGTCCTTGAATGGACGGAAGATGCGATCTTTGCCCCAGACAGACGTGTTGATCGTAACCTCGTTAAAAAGCTCCGTTCAGAGGTTAGAAACGCTTGGGCTCATGCACCTGATCAAAAATTAGCCGAAGCCACTCTTAAGGATGCTTTTGATATTGCGAATAAGTTTGTAACTGATCTTTACATAGTTTTCAACCGTATCGAAGTAAAAGAGTGCATACAGTCTATTAAGGATCTTCAGGCTAATGGGATAAGTAATGTTACACAAACCGAGTTAAAAATTCTGAATTTACTGCACTTTGAGTTAGGTGTCAGCCAAATGAAAGAACAATTAAAGCACTTGAAAGATGATCAAAGTTCCGATAGGAAGAAAATTGAGATGTTGGAAGAAAAGTTGGAGAATCTCGAGACTGGTTACATGATCAACAATGCGGGAACTAGCACACAATGCCAACTAAAGAGCTGCATTCCTGACAAACCTGAGACATTTATTGGTCGTGACGATGAAGTAAAGCAAATAATATCGTACTTGGTAGAGAATAGAAGTGGAATTGTTTCTATTGTTGGTGGACCTGGTTTTGGCAAGAGCACTGTTGCAATTGAAGTTTGCCATGATTTAAGCAATAACAATGATACTGTCGTATTTTTTTCATATCTACAAAATATTTCGACTGTTGCAGAGGTGATACTACGTCTTTGTCAAGACGTTGGCGTATATCCTGGAGAAAATCCTGAATCATCATTATTGCTAGGGTTAAAAAGTATTGAGAGAAAAGTTGTCCTCGTAATGGACAACATCGAGCAACTGCTTGAAAGCAACGAGAAACCTCATTTTGTTGAATTGGTGCTCACGCTCCGCAAAAACGTAGGGCAACATTTGCAAATCCTAACGACGTCAAGAACAGAATTCACAATTCACGAGCAACAATTCATTGTCAACCATCCAATCAACCATCCAATACAGAAAATGGATGAGAGATTTAGTGTGGAACTTTTAAAAAGGTGCTGTCCGAATGTAGAAATATCAGACGCATATCTGAATGAATTGGCTGACCTGTGTGGTGGTGTTCCTCTCGCTTTGTGTATCGCAGGAACAATAATTCCAGATCTTGACGATCCTTCAGAGTTAATTCAGTGGTTAAAAGTGAGGCCTATGGAAGCACTAAAGCGTGTTGAACAAGCCTTTGAATTTTCTCTTCAAAAATTGAGTGATGAAGATAAGAAATCTTTGATTTGTCTTTCTGTATTTGATGGGAATTTTCAAAGAAATTCTGCTAAAGAAGTAATTGGAAGGGATGGGCTAAAAACCCTAGATTTTTTAAAGAATCTTGTCAGTCGAAGCTTAATACAGAGAACTGGTGATAAGCGCTTTGTAATTCATTCTCTTATTCGGCGGTTCTTAGCTGATCATGTTCAATTTAAAGAAGAAAGGGCAATAGCACAAGAATTGATGGTGACACATTTTCTAAAGATGTGCCATACGTTAACCCTGGAGTGTTATTCAAAGAACGGATTTACTAGCGCCAGAGAATCGTTGAAAAAAGACGTTCACAATGTCGAGGAAATGTTACGAATCTGCACCCAAGTATCTAATTTAAATTCGAAACCGAATATCTCTGAACTCCTCGCAAGTAGTGATATTTACAAGTCTTCATGCAGGTTCTTTCACAGTTTCACCTGGGATCTTATTCCCGAACCGATTTTAAGAAATTTCTTTGAATCTTGTATTCAACTAGCCGAGAGTCGAAATGAACGTACTATCAAAATGCTATTTCAATGTTTGGTAGCAACTCAAGAAGGTCGTAGATCTTTTTGGAACTCTACAGAGTACGCAAACCGAATTGGGGACATCCAGGAAGCCTTTTACAAAAACAAAACGATTTTGAAAGAAGACAGATACATATTTATGTTTTGCCACCATTTACTTGCCCGACATTACTTTAAAAAATTACAGAATAGCCTACCTTCTGAACTTTTGGAAGTTGATCTACCTTGTTTTCCTGAGAAGGAACAGCTAAGCCCCATGAAAAAAGTGGCAGAAGTATATATCCTGAAGAAACGTGGAAATTTAAGTAAGATGATGGCAAACAAAGAGTCCCGCAGAGACAAACAAAAGAAAGAGGAATTCATGAGATGTTCTGAATCATTTTACATTCAAGCATTATCTTTAGCCAGGAAAATTTTGGGCGATCATGAATTAACATGTGCTCTCCATAAGCTTTTAGGAGACTTATATTTTAACTGGCATAAAAACGACGAGGCATTGATGCATTATGAAGATGCCGTAAATCTCCACAAGAAACTGAAACTTGATTCTAATGAGCAGTTTGTGATGTTGCTCAAAAACTTTGGTGGGTGTCTTTCGTTTCTTCGTCGCTTTAATGAATCAGTGGAAAGGCTAAAAGAAGCACGCGATATTGCCGATAAGATCACTGAAAAGAATACAGATTTTAAAGCCCAGGTGTACTGCGAGTTGGCAATTAGCTGTTGCTCCACGAAACTGTATCGCGAAGAAGCCGCAGAATATGTTAAAGATGCGATGAATATGCAAGAACTTCTGGACACGCGAAAAGTAAAAAAATTAGCCGTAGAGAACTTCATTATGTCATTACCAAAGATCGCCAACGTTCAAGGAAATGATGGGATGTTTCAATTAAAGAGCTGCATACCTGACAAACCACAAACATTCATTGGTCGTGACGCTGTGGTGAAGCAAATAATAACCTCCTTGGTGGCGAATGACTGTCGAATTGTCTCTATTGTTGGTGGACCAGGCTTTGGAAAAACCACCGTTGCAGTTGAAGTGTCCCATCACTTAAACAATGACCATGACATCGTCGTCATTTTTTCGTCCCTGTCAAATGCGTCAACTGTTGATGAGGTAAGACGACGTCTCTGTCGTGACGTTGGCGTTAGTGCTGGAAAAGATTCTAAATTATCGTTGATGTTTTGGTCAAAGAATATCAACAGGAAAGTCGTTCTTGTGTTGGACAGCATTGAACAGCTGCTTCAAAGCAATGTGATATCTGAGTTTACTAAATTAATGCTTTCACTCTGCAATCATCCACACCAACTTTTGCAGATCCTAACAACTACACAAACCAAATTTGTGCTTACCAGCATAACCCTGAAAACCAGCGTAAACCATGAAATAAAGGAATTGGATGAAACGTCCAGTATCGAGCTTTTGAGGAAGTGCTGTTGCCTTGAAGAAACTGAAATCAAACCTGCGTATTTGTCCGAATTGGCTGGTCTGTGTGCTTTCGTTCCTCTTGCTTTGTGCATCACAGGAACACTAATTCGAGATCTTAAAGATCCTTCACAATTGATACAGTGGCTGAGCGAGAAACCCATGGAAAACTTAAGCTACGCCAACCAGTGTATGGAGCAAGCTCTTACGGTCTCTTTCCAGAATTTAAGTGATGAAGAGAAGAAGGCGTTGATTTGTCTTTCGGTATTTGTTGGAAATTTTCAAATGAGCTCAGCAAAAGAGGTAATCAACAAGAGTAGATCGCAAGCTGAAATTTTATTACAAAGTCTCTTGAGACGATGTTTAGTACAGCAAACAAGTGATGGGCGCTTCGTGATTCATTCGCTTATACGAGAATTCTTAGATGGTCATGATCAATTTAAAGAAGAAAAGGCAATGGCACAAGGATTGATGGTGAGTCATTTTCTAAAGATGTGCCATTCATTGACCATGAAGGGTTATTCAAAGAACGGATTCACTAGCGCCAGAGAATCACTAAAAAAGGACGTCCACAATGTGGAGAAAACGTTTGAAGTCTGCAGCCAAGATAAGAAAAAAAATCTAAATCCAAACATCCCGGAGTTGTTAGCAAGTAGTGATATTTATAAGTCATCATCCAGGTTCTTTAACGAGTTCAGCTGGGATCTTTTTCCCCTTATTGTTTTGAGGAAGTTCTTTGAATCGTGTGCAAAACTGGCCAAAAATCGAAATCAACCAGCCATCGAGATCGCATTTCTATGTCTTGTAGCGGATCAAATAGGACATGAATGCGAATGGAAGTCTAAATACAGCGACCGAGTGAATGCTATCAATGAAGCGTTGAAGGACAATGACGCGTTAAGAAAGAAAGATAGGTCCTTATTTATCTTCTGTCATTACATTTTTTCCCGGTCTGACTCTGATAAACCAACATATGAGGCACCTCCTGATCTAGAAGATGACGGTACACCATTGGATGAAGACAAATGTGCAAGTCCTATCGTGAATGCAGCCGAAGTATATTTTCTGTTGCAGCGTGGAGATTTGAACAGGAGACATGCAATTAAACTATATAAGGGAGGGAAAGAAGGGTACTATGAATACTTTAAAAATGCAGAATCATTTTACAACCAGGCGTTGACATTATCTAAAGAGTTGTTTGGTGACCACGGATTCACATGCCACGTACACGATCTGTTAGGAGACTTATATTTAGAAAGGCGTGATAACACAAAGGCACTGATGTGCTATACCGAATGCATTATTCTGTGCAAGGAACTGGAACTTTATTCTTACGAACACTTTGCGTACTTGCTCAAGAATTGTGCAACATGCCTGTCTTATCTTGGCTATTTTGATGAATCAGTGACAACATTAAAGAAAGCTTGTACAATAGCTGACCACCAAATGCGTTGTAGAGCTGTTTTTTACCTTGCCTTAGCAGGAACGTATCGTAGGTGGAAACCTGATTGTCAAGACGCCGCAATATATGCTAAAGAGGCGATGAAGATGAGGCATTTGTTGAATTCGCGCGACAAAGATTCACTGCAGGAGATCATTAAAACAGCAGAAGGGCATTAAGCGCAAAGGACGGTTGACAAACTTTCCTTCTGATGGAAAGGAGAGATAATATTGATAACACTACACGACGATTTATATAATTATGTACACTGCACAACAATTCATACTATTAAATTTTGAAGAGACGACGGAGATAAGGGAACTGCACGTTGAATTTGCAGGGATGGACCATTTGCGCTTTAGACTAATTTTTTATAGGAGTAACAAGAAGGAAACAAACCACGAGAGCTAGGAAGAGTGTACTTAAATTAGTGCAAAAGCAAAGTTTGGCCGCGAAAATCTGTAAATTGCGGCAAATATAGCAATGTGAAGTTGGCAAATTTTGTATAGCTACTTTTGTATTACGTGCGGAAATGTGTAACTAAATTAGTTACACACTTCCGGCCGTAATGTAAAAGTATACAAAATTTGTCAACTTCGCATTGCTATTTCGCCGGGTTAAGAAATTAGTGTAAAGCGCAAGTCGTCCATTTTTAAATCCGCATGACGCAGAAACATTGCAATGGATCAGTCATTATGATGGCAAAAAAGTATGTTGCAGAATAAGACGGTCGATGGGCTATAAAATTTCCTTTTTTAGAAAGGAAAAGTAATATTGATAACGCTACGAGGCTATTTATATTATTTAACGCTAAAAAGACAATGAAGACACGAGAACTGTTTGTTGAATTCGCGCGACGTAATATACTAGAAACATGGCAAGATATTATATATGCCAAAATACACGATTAAAACTATAGGTAATGAAATTCTTTATATCATTTATCAATATAACCAACAGAATCACATTATACAAATGAAGGTAAAAAATGTACGCATTCTATTGCTTGTTTTAAAGAATTAAAAGTCTGATAAATCGCGTTAATGGCATGTGATGCCATAATTCCAGTGGACTGAGTGGAGTCAACGCGAAAACGAGACACAGTAACCAGAGTGAGTTAATTGTTCACTGTATGTGTTGGCAGCATATATATGGTAGCATTTATGTGCAATTTCGTATCATTTGCTCACCCCTGTGCAGCACAAGCGTCCAGTATTTTGTTAATCAAATAGCTCGCACGCTCGGGGTAAAAGTTTGCGGGAACATGTTTCGCTTTAAGGAGCATGCCCGGTAAGCGATGTTAACGTTTTCAAATCGTTTTCGTGTGGACGCCAAACGAAACGACAACGTGTGGAAAACGGATAGATATATTTATCCTGTTTCAAATTTATCCGGAAACGTGTGGACAGGGCATGAGGTTGACCCACGAAAACGAGAGTATTCTTTCTTCTTTCGTAGTGAATTTTCAATCGATTTTCCACACGAAGTCGTCCGCATACAGTTCAAAACGCTGTTAACATGCATACGAGAAATCGTTTATAGGGGAGCCTTTCTATTCTAGGATCAACTTTTGTAATGTCATTTTAGATAATTAAGAAAAGCCTAGTATTATTATCAGGCGTAGCATACATAATATATACGCGTACGAACTTAAAAGTTTAGTGAAGAAACGAATGTCACCGTATTGATCATTTCCAGTTCCAAATGTCTTTTCCTTTTCGTAGATAAAGACATATAATGCGAATAAATTAGCGGTCAAAATGAAACATAAGTATTTGACGTGCAGGTTACAAAATCTTAAAAATCGGGAACGGGAATGGAGGAAAAAAACGGAGAAAGGCAAGGATCGCAAGACTTTTTTGTGAGTGTTTACTTGGTTATTATAGTAAGAATGAGGCGACGTATACTCTCAGAAATTAAAAAATTTCAGCTGGGTGGCCACAAAAACTATTCTTCCCCTCCTAAATTTGAAGTATCAGTGTGTCAAAATGTGTATGAATTACTGTAAATATTTTACTCCGGCAAACATTAAGCCGCAATATATTTACAGGTCGTCCTTCATCGGTCGTTTTGCCTATATGCAAAATCATAAACAACGCCAATAATCATGATCATAAACAACGCCAATAACAATTTTAAATTCAAAGCACCTGACTATAACGATTTTATTAAGTACCTTACCAGCCAAGTAAAGTAAAAAGAAACTTTGAAAAAACAAGATATCGATAGTTCTAATAGTCGATAGCTATATGATTTAAACAATAAACAAGTTGAAACTGTAAATTTTAGACTTTATTTCATTAGACATCTTCAGACATGCTGCAAAATTCACAGTTTCAGTTTGTGTCTTGTTTGAATAAATATTAACGATGCTTTTTGGTTATGAATTTCTAGAGAATATTTTTCCCAAGGAAACTAAAGTTTACCAATGAATCCATTGTTGAAGATAATTTACAGTTCGTTCTGCATGCGCACCTTTCTGTCTATAGGCGATAGGCATAACAGACTAAGCAAAATTCCAGCCTTCGGGACACGGCTACAACTACTTGATTTTGCTAAATTTTGTCATATTTAAAGCAGGTAGTTTTTTTGCATTCAATGTCGGGTATGGTAAAAATTACACAAATCATATATCCATTAATTGGGAACGACCGCTAGATTGCAGAACAAACCATGCTTATGGCAGTTTCGCAAAATGTCATGATTGTTTTATTGCTTGTGAAAAATAGTAAAATATACCTGCTCGGCCACCAACGGCAAACATAAACAAGGACGCATTAAGAGACGCCAATTTAATTTGTGTAATTCTCAGTAAGATTGGACAGAAAAGAGTTTGCCGTGGAAAATCACCATGATACATTCCCCATTTTGACCTGCCTTCGAACATATCACATAATTGAAACAGAAATTACCGGAAAATTTGCCGGGAGGATATTGCTGAACCAATTATTGGTTACATTGTTGAAATCACTAATAGCTGAGGCAATCTTGTTTTGAGGTAAGTAAGTCCAGATGTGAGCGACGGAATTGCAAGTTGTAGGATCGTGACCATGTTAGCGAGAAGATAAAGTATATTCCTTCTTTCTGAATATATAGGAAGAATAAATATAGACTGTAAAACGAGTTTTGCGTACTTATCGCCTTTACGTTTTTGGCAAAAACAATTATACGCATGCAAACATGGTCATAAGAGAGTGTGTAGTTGTGCATGGCAATTTTAAAACTAATGGTACTTTATTAAATTTTTCTTTATTCTTTGATTGTAGGAATCCTCTTTACATTTAGAAAATATCAGAATTTGGCTACGATGGATGATAACGAATCGACGGAGGTAATATGGAAATAAGTCACATAGGATTATGACCTGTTGGCGTTGCTAAATCAGTTGTACTTATAGAATCAAAACTCACATTACAGTACACCAAATTACGGGCGATTTTCTTCAGGACATGCAAATGGAACGTTAACTTTGTGGCACCAGGACGCCACTTGAGTATTTGGAATGAAGTTTGCCCGGAATAAAAATTGATTTCTTGAGACAGCAATTTTCTTTGCCTGATAGAAAACAGAATTACCACATTCATTTGGGTAATTTATCTGCGCTCTAACATGCATATATGTATGAGCTGCAGCCTGTAGACGTGAGACCCGACAATAGCCTAGGTTTCAGGTTGTTCTGATCTCAAAGCCTGTATGGTTTTTAAGTATAGGTAATCATGTGATGGCGAGTACCATTCGGGATTAATAGTACGAGTGATGTTTTTGCCAAAATTGGACGAGCCGCGCTAGCATAATAAATTCGAACAACTTTCGTAGCGCTTTATCACGAATATTTCGGGCGTAATTTTCAATGCAGTCCTGCAATTACAGTCCTGCTAGACTATTATCCATTATTTTGTACTTTTGTCAGTATTTTCGTTTACCTTTCTGAGCTTTTTTAGTCCCCGCAGACCGCAGGGCTATTTAGTTTATATGCAAAAAAATTTCCGCCATTTTATGCTTATTTTGGCATTATTAACAATTGCAATTAATCTATATCTGAGTTAATAACGTGGAATGTTACCTGACCCAGTTTATTATAAGAATTATTTAGCTAATGACCCTAATTAGTTTAGACCACTACGAAGTTTAAACTACAAAAGCGTGCTGTCAGAAATATCCTTATTACTGACATTGTATTTCATTAAAATCCGAAACAACACTTACTGCATGCTAAAAACTGTTTACTGCATGTACTCACATGTGTCTACCATATGTTTATGTTAAGAACTTATATTCACAAAGAGTGAGATCTTCCAAGGATCATAACAACTGGTTAATCGTTGGAGAATTGATCAGATTAATTAAGGAGCCCGTCGCTTTGTACACCACTCATATCATAGAAGAATGGCATGCCAAGCTTCCTTGTCTTTCGCTGCCGCAATGCACAAATCCTGCCGTTTGCCTGACAAAAAAGAATCATCGTGATCTTTGCCACTCTTGCAAGGGATGGTACGATGAGCTTGCCAAATCCCATCGAAATCTAAACAAACGACAAATAAGATGGCGTGGAAACTGCAACACATCAAAGTGGCCGAATGAACCTTGGGAGGTTGCCAAGTTCTTTATGTCTGCTCTTGGCGACAACAAAATAAGCGTTAAAGACGCCGAATCCACTGATTTATCTTCTCTTCTGAACGTCCTTGAATGGACAGAAGATGCGATCTTTGCCCCAGACAGACGTGTTGATCGTAACCTCGTTAAAAAGCTCCGTTCAGAGGTTAGAAACGCTTGGGCTCATGCACCTGATCAAAAATTAGCCGAAGCCACTCTTAACGATGCTTTTCATATTGCGAATAACTTTGCAGCTGATCTTTACATTGTTTTCAACCGTAACGAAGTAAAAGAGTGCATAGAGTCTATTAAGGATCTCCAGGCTAATGGAATAAGCAATGTTACACAAACCGAGTTAAAAATTCTGAATTTATTGCGCTTTGAGTTAGGCGGAGAGGTCAGCCAAATGAAAGAACAATTAAAGCGCTTGAAAGATGATCAAAGTTCCGATAGGAAGAAAATTAAGATGTTGGAAGAAAAGTTGGAGAATCTCGAGACTGGCTACATCATCAACAATGCGGGAACTAGTACACAATGGCAACTAAAGAGCTGCATTCCTGACAAACCTGAAACATTTATTGGTCGTGACGATGAAGTAAAGCAAATCATATCTTACTTGGTAGAGAATGGCTGTGGAATTGTATCCATTGTTGGTGGACCTGGTTTTGGCAAGAGCACTGTTGCAATTGAAGTTTGCCATGATTTAAGCAATAACAATGATACTGTCGTATTTTTTTCATATCTACAAAATATTTCGACTGTTGCAGAGGTGATACTACGTCTTTGTCAAGACGTTGGCGTAAATCCTGGAGAAAATCCTGAATCATCGTTAATGCTACGGTTAAAAAGTATTGAGATGAAAGTTGTCCTCGTAATGGACAACATCGAGCAACTACTTGAAAGCAACGAGAAACCTCAGTTTGACGAATTGGTGCTCACGCTTCGCAAGAATGTAGGGCAACATTTGCAAATCCTAACGACGTCAAGAACAGAATTCACAATTCACGAGCAACAATTCATTGTCAACCATCCAATACAGAAACTGGATGAGAGATTTAGTGTGGAACTTTTAAAAAGGTGCTGTCCGAGTGTAGAAATTTCAGACGCATATCTGAATGAATTGGCTGACCTGTGTGGTGGTGTTCCTCTCGCTTTGTGTATCGCAGGAACAATAATTCCAGATCTTGACGATCCTTCAGAGTTAATTCAGTGGCTAAAAGTGAGGCCCATGGAAGCATTAAAGCGTGTTGAACAAGCCTTTGAATTTTCTCTTCAAAAATTGAGTGATGAAGATAAGAAATCTTTGGTTTGTCTTTCGGTATTTGATGGGAATTTTCAAAGAAATTCTGCTAAAGAAGTAATTGGAAGGGATGGGTTAAAAACCCTAGATTTTTTAAAGAATCTTGTCAGTCGAAGCTTAATACAGAGAACTGGTGATAAGCGCTTCGTGATTCATTCTCTTATTCGGCGGTTCTTAGCTGATCATGTTCAGTTTAAAGAAGAAAGGGCAATAGCACAAGAATTGATGGTGACACATTTTCTAAAGATGTGCCATACGTTAACCATGGAGTGTTATTCAAAGAACGAATTTATTAGCGCCAGAGAATCGTTGAAAAAAGACGTTCACAATGTCGAGGAAACGCTAAAAATCTGCTCACAGGATCAGATCAGGAATTTGAGTCCAAGCATCCACGAAGTGTTGGCCAGCAGTGATGTTTACAAGTCTTCATTTCGGTTTTTTCACAACTTCAGCTGGGATCTTCTCCCTGAAACGGTCTTGTGTCATTTTTTTCAATCTTGTATTACATTGGCTGAAAGTCGAAATGAACCAACTATTGAAATGCTTTTCAAATGTTTGGCAACAGCTCAAGAAGGACATAAATCTGCATGGAGGTCCAAGGAATACTCCAAGCGAATTGAAAGTATCCAGACAGCATTTCAAAGAAAGAAAGAGGCATTGAAAGAAGACAGATACGTATTTATGTTATGTTACGACCTACTTGCCCGACATTACTTTACCTCGGCACCAAATGCGAATAACACACAGTCCGATTTCACAGAAGATGAACTTTCAAGGTCCGTAGATGACGTTCTAAGTCCTATGGAGAAAGTAGCAGAGGCATATATTCTGAAGAAACAAGGCAGTATAAGCAAATTGCGTGGAAACAAAATGTTTCACGAAGACCAACAAAAGAAGAATGAACACATGAACAGGGCCGAATCGTTTTACAACCGAGCTTTATCTTTAGCTAAAGAGCTGTTAGGGGATCATGTATTAACATGTGCTCTTGATAAACTTTTGGGAGATTTATGTTTTAACTTGCATAAGAACGAAGAGGCACTGACATATTATACCAATGCCATAAATCTCCACAAGAAACTGAAACTTGATTCTAATGAGCAGTTTGTAATGTTGCTCAAGAATTGTGGAGGGTGCTTGTCGATTCTTCGTCGCTTCGATGAATCTGAGAAAACATTAAAGGAAGCGCGCAGCATTGCTGACAAGATCTCTGGGAACACTCGTTGTAGAGCCCAGGTGTATTGTGAGTTAGCAATCACATGTAGTTCCCGGGAACCTGATTGCCGAGAAGCCGCAGGGTATGCACATGAAGCAATAAAGATGCAAGAGTTTCTGGAATCGGGCAAAGTGGAAAAATTGAGGAAGATTATCCAAACCGCAGAGATTATCAAGCAATTACAAGACATCGCTAAAGTTCAAGGAACAGAACTACAGTCCCACCTGAAAAGTTGCATTCCCGACAAACCACAAATATTCATTGGCCGTGACGCTGAAGTAAAACAAATAATATCTTCCTTAGTGGAGAACGACTGTGGAATTGTGTCTATTGTCGGTGGACCAGGATTTGGCAAGAGCACCATTGCATATGAAGTTTCCCATCAATTAAGCAACAAGCATGGCATTGTCGTAATTTTCACATGTCTCTCACATGCATCGACAGTTTCTGAAGTAAGAAAATGTCTCTGTCGTGTCGTTGGCATTAATCCAGGAGAAAGTCCTGAATCATCTTTGACATTTTGGTTAAAGAGTATTGAGAAGAAAGTTATCCTTGTCATGGACAACATCGAGCAATTGCTTGAAACGAATGTGAAATCTAAGTTCATTGAATTGGTGTGTAGCCTCCGCAAAAATTCGCACCAACATTTGCATATTCTAACGACGACAAGAACAACATTTTCGGTTTCGGGCCAAACCACCGAAAACCATCAAATTGGGAAGTTGGATGAAAAATCAAGTATTGAAATTTTAAGAAGACGTTGCCGTAATAAAGTTAACAATGCGCACGAATTGGCGAAGCTGTGTGGTTTCGTTCCTCTCGCCTTGTGTATCGCAGGAGCAATAATTCCTGATCTTGATGATCCTTCAGAGTTGGTACAGTGGTTAAGAAAGAAATCTATGGAAGCAGAAAAGAAAAACTCTCCTGACCAATGTGTTGAACAAATCATCAAGTTTTCTTTTCAGAAGTTGACTTTGGAAGATCAGAAAGGGATCGTTTGTCTTTCGGTATTCAATGGGAATTTCGAAATAAATTCTGCAAGAGAAGTAATTGACAAAAACGAGTCCCAAACTGCAGAATTATTAAAAAAATTGGTCAGCCGAAGTCTAATACAATTTAATAGTGATAAGCGCTATGTGATGCATTCAGTAATCCGACGATTCCTGGTCGACCATCATAAAGAGGAAAAATCGAAAGCCCAAGGATTGATGGTGAATCATTTTTTAGTGGCGTGCCATTCGTTGACCATGGAATGTTACTCGCTTAACGGTTTTGCTACTGCCAGAGAATCGCTTAAAAAGGATATCCACAATATCGAGGAAACGTTAAGAATATGCACCCAAGATCAGGCAACTAGTTTGAATGCAGACATCCTCCAGTTCTTGACGAGTAGTAATGTTTACAAGTCCCCATCCTTCTTCTTCTACAACTTCAGCCTTGATCTCCTTTCGGAAAGTGTTTTATGGAATTTCTTTGAATCCTGTTTCAGACTAGCCGAAAGTCGAAAGCAACCAGCCATTGAAATCACATTCCAATGTTTATTAGCATACCAAGAAGGGCTTAAATCAGCATGGAAGTCTTCGGAGTACAAGAACAGATTGAGGACGATCAGTGCAGCGTTTTGCAAAAATAAAGCAGTGCTGAAAGAAGATAGGTTCTTTTTTATGTTTTGTTACTATTTTTCCGCTCGCTATAACTGCAGGAAAGCAACAAATCCACTGGCTCCTGATCTGACCGAGGATGATCTTCCTGCCTTGCCTGACAACAAAACTGATCTGAATCCTGAAGAAAAAGCAACAAAAGTTCATTTTCTGATAGAGCGTGCAAATATATACAAGAAACGTGCAAATAAAGCATTTAAAGAAGACAAAGGAAAATACAACGAACACCTAAAGTCTGAAAAGGATCACTACGAACAAGCTTTGGCGTTAGCTAAAACGTTCTTCGGTGACAACGAATTAACATGCATTGTCTGTAAGCTGCTAGGAGATTTATACTTCAGTTTGAACAAGTACACAGAGGCACTGACGTATTATTACGATGCTGTACGTCTGCGGACGAAACTGGGGCTTGATGGTAACGAGTCGTTTGTGTTCTTGCTCAAGAATTGTGGTGTGTGTCTTTCGAATCTTGGTTGTTTTGATGTTTCGGTGGAGACGTTAAAAAAGTCTCGCGACATGGCTGACAAGCTCACTGAAAAGGAAACCCTTTGTAGAGCCCGGGTGAATTACGTGTTAGCTAGAACGTGTCTTGAATGGAAACATGACTGTCAAGAAGCCGCAGGATATGCTAAAGAGGCCATGAAGATGTGGAAGTCATTAGACCCGAACATGGTGGAAACATTGGAAAATATTATTCGCAGGCAAGAGGAAATGACACTCGATAGTCTGGACAATTAATAAATTTCTTAAGTATTGACCCATTGCACACAAACGTGACATGACGTCACAAATCCTAAGAGTTGTCCTCTAGTTGTTTGACAAGAACAATTTACGAAGCAAAAGTTCGTCACTGATTTTTGTATTTTGCCAATATTATGCTATGTTAATTAGTTCTCTAGACTAATGTGACGTCATGTGCTAAGGGTCTGTACCCTACTAAAACTATCCACTGTGTTATTACTGCACATATACAAGTTTCTTGACTTTTTTGACATACCAGCTTCGCTCTAAGATTCACAGATTTGGATAAAGTTTTTCGATAAATTTAAAGCTTTGGCCTTTTGAACCGTATTTTTATCATATTCACAATGTTCAGTATCAAAGTTTAATTTCTAATACGTTTTTTGATTATTTGTAATCAATATAAGTTAAACTAGTTAATTTTGCATGTTATTAGATGATCTTAGCTAATTACTTTTGAAACATTTTTGTACATTAGTTTATGGATATTCGATTGTCAGTTGATTATAGGTTACGACAAAAAACGATTAGTTTGATAGCGAAAAGACCGATAAAGATCGTGTTACTGTGTGTCAAACACGGTGGCCAGGATTTGAGTGGAGAACTGCGATTAATATATGCTTTTTATTCTTTGTATGGTTTATTTTATGACTTCGAGCATATGAAATTTTGCGAACCCTCCTCCTTCCGGCTTCCTCACATTCAGCGAAGTTTCACCGTATTGATCATTTCCAATTCCAAATGTCTTTTTCCTTTTCGCAGATAGAGACATATAATGCGAATAAATTAGCGGTCAAAATGAAACATAAGTATTTGACGTGCAGCCTTACAAAATCTTAGAAATCGGGAACGGAATGGAGGGAAAAAACGGGGAAAGGCAAGGATCGCAAGACTTTTTTGTGAGTGTTTACTTCGGCATTATAGTAAGAATGAGGCGACGTATACTTTAAGAAATTAAAAAGTATCGACCTGCAACTGGGTGGCCACACAGTGTCAAAAACTATTCTTACCCTCCTCCTAAATTTCAGTGAAGAATTGTGTCAAAATATATATGAATTACTGTAAATATTTTAGTCAAACATTAAGCCGCAATATATTTACAGGTCGTCCTTCATCGGTCGTTTTGTCTGTGCAAAATCATAAACAACGCCAATAATCATAAACAACGCCAATAATCATAAACAACGCCAATAATCATAAACAACGCCAATAACAATTTTAATATCGAAGCGCCTTACTAACGATTTTATTAAATACCATTACCAGCCAAGTAAAGTAGAAAAAAAACTTTGAAAAGACAAGACATCGATAGTTCTAATAGATTTAAACAATACACAAGTTGAGACTGTAAATTTTCGACTTAAATTTCATTAAATCATCTTCAGACATTTTGTAAAATTCACAGTCTTAACTTGTGTCTTGTTTGAATAAATTACTAACGATGCTTTTTGGTTATGAATTTCTAGAGAAATTTTTCCCAAAGAAACTAAAGTTTACCAATGAATCCATTTTGAAGATAATTTAAAGTCCGTTCTGCATGCGCACCTTTCTGCCCATAACAAAATTCCAGGTTTCACGACACGGTAGTTGGGGGTAAAAATATAGAAGCTACTTCAAGCTACACTTGATTTCGCTAAATTTTGTCATATTTTAAGCAGGTATATGGAAGTTTGTTTGCATTCAATGTCGGGTATGGTACAAATTAAACAAATAATATATCCATTGGGAACGACCCCTAGATTGCAGAACAAACCATGCTGATAGCGGTTTCGCAAAATGTCATGATTGTTTTATTGCTTGTGAAAAATAGTAAAATATATCTGCTCGGCCACCAACGGCAAACATAATCATGGACGCATCAAGAGACACCAATTTAATTTGTGTAATCCTCAGTTATCCTTAGCAAATGTGAAGGGAATTCATGAGATTGGACAAAAAAGTGTTTCCCGTCGAAAATCCATGCATTCCTCCTTTTGACCTGCCTTCGAAAATATCACATAATTGAAACAGAAATTACCGGAAGTTTGGGGGAAATTGCTGAAGTTAAGCTGGCTTAAAGTGCCTATATCACTTGTGGGATCTTTACGGATTTGAATAGAGCTTGAAAAATTAGTTTATAAGTTCTACAACCCTTTTTTATATGGTTAAATAGTTTCGGAAATATTTACATCTAAACATGACGATTTGCCTAAATTTCCGTCGTGCTCAGGGCCTGGGATTCAGGAACCAAGTTCTTGTCAAACATAATATATAATCAATTGTAATTTTACTTCAATCTTCCAATAACGTAAAATATTTTGAGAAAAACTCGCCCAGTTGCTACAGCCGTATAACGCACCGTTCCGGCATTTTTTTCTTCAAAAGCGCAAACTATATCGCCAGTGAAACTCTTCATGTTGACATTATAAAAGACGGCGTGTTTGCAAATCATTCCTGAGTCCCAGTCCCCCCAACCGACGTATTTTCGAAACTATTTGATTATATCAAAAAAGGTTGTAGAACTTATAAACTAATTTTTCAAGCTCTATTCAAATCTGTAAAGATCCCACAAGTGATATATAGGCACTTTAAGGAATTTACCGGCTAAAGGAATTCTCCAGATATATTGTTGAAACCACTAAGAGCTGAGGCAATCTTGTTTGAGGCAGATTCATGCAGATGTAAGCGACGGAATTGTGAGTTTTATAGGATGGTAAACATGCATGTTAGCGAGGAGATAATATCCCTTCTTTTTGACTATATATAGAAAGGATAAATATTGACTGTAAATGGAGTAAAAATTACTTCATTTTTAAGAGCTGTCATGATCATGAAAGGGATATCTTAAATTAAACAGAATGAACCCTTTAAATAGTTATGTTAATTATATGAGAAATATCACAGCTATAAGGTATCTATGATTGCCCAATATATATTAAGTCCATGCAGGTACCGTACCAACGCTGGCTTGGGCTTTAAACGCATGTCCCAAAGGGACGACGTTTTTTAATTTTGTTGTATATATGCGCGTCTTTAATCATTTTTCATGAAATTGGCGCAATATAAATGTAATTTATTATTATTGTTATTAAAATTATGTGGGTCAGCACTTTATGTCTTTAGGTGCGTGGGTTTATGCGTTGGCCTTGTCTGGGTCAATATCGTTGCCTAAAAATAATGATATTTTCACGAGAAATGATTTTATGCCACATGCATGTTAACTAAGCCAAAATGCATGAGCATTATAGATTCTAATAAATTGCACAATCATGGATTGTAACCGATTTCAGCTGTTATAGTACGTTGCAGTCTAGTGGCCTGGTTTCGAGTTGGCTGAGTCTCCTATAAGACGCACGTCGCAGACACATTTTTGGTGTCCAAATAGCGTACCGTCAGCTTTAATTATTGTTAAAGATTCTTTTACTGGGGTCTGGGGGTTCTATTTAGAACTTAACAACCACTCTCTGATACGCTCCGCGGGCCCTGGCTATTGCTATTGAAGACAAAAAAATAAGTGGAAGTCCGTATCTCACTAATTGGGTCCAGCCCGCGTTTTACCACATTCCAATGAGAATAGAAATATCTTGAATAATAATAGCTTGAAAATATAGCAATCATTTGAACAAGAAGTTGAACAAGCAATTTGAGTAAGTGCCCTTTAGATAAGTATCCTTGTATCCTTTAAATAACTATACCTTTTAGAAATAGGAACCTTTTAATTTAAGCAACCTTCTGCTTTGTAAATTGTAAACTTCCTCACCTTTGTTAGCCTGTAAACTTCCTCATCTTTGTTAGCTTGTAAACTTCCTCACCTTTGTTAGCTTGTAAACTTCCTCACCTTTGTTAGCTTGTAAACTTCCTCACCTTTGTTAGCTTGTAAACTTCCTCACCACAACGTTATACATTGAACGACTTAGTCTACGGAAATGCACACTTCATATTTTTGAGTGTTTTGTCATGAAAACGGATGCAAGGGTTATTATTATTTCACAAGTGTTTCAAGTTCAAAAGCCGAATAAGAAGTTTTTATTCATATCGTTTTCGTATTCAAAAGTCCCTATTCTAAAGTTGTTTTTTTTCAAAACCGTCCTCGCTTTAAAAGAAGCTAAAGGATTTATCGTATAACTACGAAGGGAATTGTATTATGCGATTCATATCCGTGATGAAGATCTTAAATGTTATTTCACTTTTCATGCCATATTAGTATATATCTTGAAGTTAAGATAGTATAGAAAATTAGACAGAGAGAAATAAGACAAAATGCAACCAGTTCAAAGCATACAAAATTAATGCAAGAAAGCGACTGCCTAATATAACAGTAAATAATAATAAGATTAAATGAACTGCAATTTTATTTTATAGCAATCAAATACATTCACAAACAGTCTGAAAGCAGATCAATTCGATGGAATTACAAATCACTTATAATTTTTGCAATGTCATGATTAGCGGTCATTATGAAGTTTGTTCAGGAACCATCGATCCAACCAAACTCCATCAGAACCAAGCTTTAAGGCGATAGAGTGATCAGACTCTCCCTGTTCATGCAAGGTTTTGACTCTTCCCGCAACCATTTTAACGAATACATCGTTAGCCATATCAGATGCGTTCGAGGTGGTGGATGTGTCCGGAAGAACATTCGATGCCGCTCGACTTAGTCTTGGAGCAACCGTGGCCGCAAGGATAGATCGATGGGTAGAATGAGAAAGTTGCAGTGGTGAACGCATGTTTTTCAATTTCGGTAACATTTCTTGTAATTTATCCCAATTTTGATTAGTGGAAGGAAGATGACAGATGATTGGTTGTAACTCGTCCTGCATTTTCTGGTAAACTGACTGCATTTCATCATATCTTTTCCGAAGTTTATTCAAGGTTTCTTCGTCGGTTTTGTTCTTGTAAGTTGACATTTCAAAAGCTGGAAACGCAATGTGGCCAAAAATTTTCTCACTCGTGCTCTTTAGAACGTCTTCGTCATGAAGCCAAGGGAATGTTTGCATTGTTGGGGCATAAATATTCTCGAAAAAATTGCTTACAGTCTTGGATAGGTTTAACAACTGGTTGTATTGTTTTTCCATCATGTATGTTCGCTCTACTCGTGTTTGACCAGCTGCTTACAATTGAAAGTGTAGTAGAATCGCTTTGATATGCATTTTTAATAGAAACCGGAAATCAGGAGAGTCAGTTAAGTCACATGATCAGTTCACATCGTTATATTCATGAAAATATGCATTTATCTATTCACAGTACTTGCTGTAGCAAAGTCTTTACACTTAGCTCTCACCGAGCCAGAATACATTTCTGTTCATCTCATGCAGTATGGGTATTGTGTTGGGAGTGGTTGTTG